ATCAATAAAGACTACTTTTTGGTCCCATATAACAACCAAAGTGTCTTCACCTGACAACCCCTCACTCTGTACAACGCCTAGCGTTGAAACCTGTCCTTATGTCCCTTTACGCCGTCTCGACAAGGCCTCCGAGGAACCCAAGGGATCTTCGGCTGGGGACGCTCAGAGCCGATAAGGCCTTGTCAGATCCTTCAGAGACGAAAGACCATGTAAGATCTGGTCGTGTAAGAGTTCTCGCCGTGCGTATTAACCAAGCCGTGTAATCAGAAATTGACTTTTCCAACTTCACGGCTGGGGGCTAGGATCAGAGCTTATTCAACCAAGACAGGCCAAGGGTCCAAGAGCCTTGTCACCCAAGGACATCCCTCCGACGACAAGGCTGGGGGCTAGGGAGAGTGTACAACTCAAACGGCTAACTAAGGTCGTTAACTGAGAACACGCTCTTACAAACAACACCCAGAGTAAGAAACATTTGTTAAATATATATTTCTTTATTCACAAAGTATTCCTTACTGTTAGCACATAAATATTTTGTCACATTACGTCTTTTCCCAAGATATCTTGTTACAAGGTACAAATTCTACCAAGAAGGCCAACGCCAGTCCATTGATTGGAAAATCTTCTCGGCTAGCGGCGACATTGATCTCGCGAGATGGTCAATCTCTGCCGGATTTCTCCGAGAACGGTTAAAACCCTCACGGAGAAATTCGAGTTCCAGGCGCGGGCGGTGATCTCGTACACAGGCCAACACATGCCCCCCGGCATATCGGCTTGCTCGACGACACTCTTGCTTCAAGGCCTCGTCGATACGCTGACCAATGCCGTCGAGTTGAGCACAGGCCCCGTTGAGCCACGAGATGTACCCGGCCGCCGATTCTTCAGGATCACCGCGGGCTACCCGAAGATCCCGGCACACCCTCGCCATAGAGGCGCAGCAATTCTTCAGATAAGATGAGAACCACACCTCTCGACCTCGGAGTGTTTCCACAGCTTGATCTTTTTTCACGGCTAGCATCGCCCTCTCGAGTTCCGCCACTTCACATTTCGTCTTCTAGTATTGGATACGATGATCTTGAGTCGCAAGGGCATCCTCGAGATCTGCCAAACGTGATGGTTATTAAGACAACTCGGAAACCACCAAAAAGCAATAAGGCTGACGAGATCACTCACTCGGGTCAGTTGCCGTCATTTCGGCTCCGGCATCAGCAATCTGGCCATCGACGATATGCGCCGCGCTCGGTTCTAACTCGAGTACCGGGGTTATCGCCATCGATTCAGGTTGCCCGCGCTACTGGACATCCTCATCATCGACCTCTCTACAATCGATAAGATGAATTTTCGAGATCAAAGATGAACAGAGCTAGACAACCAAAGTTTGGGGTTCACAAATCATGAGAAGGAAATAAAAATACAAGTACTCCTACTCTTCGAAGAGGGGGACGACAGACTCCCCCAGGTCACCGACTTCCTCCATCACCCCCTTACGTGCGTCGCTCGCCGCCCCCTGGTCCAAGATCTCGCGGAGATCTAGCTCAGGACGCGACAACCGCACGCACGCGAGGACGTGACACGCCCCGGTATAAATGCCGTTGGACGTCTCCTCCGCAAGTCGGGCCGCCTGCTTCGCGGGGATCTCTCCCATCGCTGTCGCCAGCTCCTCCAGAGAAGAGGTTAGGGAGAACTCGTCGGGGTTCTTGGGGATCGTCGACTTGACCCCACACTCCGCGGCAAGCTGGTGGAGGCCGGTGTATGTGACCCTCAGAGAACCACGGATCTCGGAGAGGTTATCTCCGAGTTCCGCCATGCGGTTCTCGAGTCCCTTGCGTTGACGCTCGTTGCCAGCCACTAGTTCCCTCATTTTCACGAGGTCCTCGCGGGCTTCGGCCAGCTCCCGCACCAGCCGCTCCGCGCGCGCGTTAGCCGCCGCTGTCTCCGCCCTCGCCTCCGAGACCTCGCGACCAATGCCGCGAGCGCCGGCTTCAAGAAGGCGCCCCATCTCGACTTAGAGCTCCTCCCAGGTGAGGATGGACTCTGGCGCGCCACGGTTTCCGACGGGGTCGCTGCTTGGGCCGCTTGGCGTCGCCTCCTGACTCCCGATCACGGGAACGACGTCAGTCGACGCTGTTACAGGGGACGCGCTAGAAGTCCCCCCAGACTTGGCCCGAGCCGCTTTCGCTCGTGCCTCCCTGTCAACACCGACGGATCAGAGTTCGGTTCGAAAAGAAGACTTGAGAATCTGAGAAGTTTCGCGACTTACTTCTCGCCGATCGTCACAAGGCGTTGACGACGCGCAAGAGGAGGAGATGCATCGGAAATCTGCAAAGTCGCCAGTGAGAACAAGAACCTTCCTAGTCGCTCAGCTTAACGACGAGGCGAATGTTACCGTCGAAGTCTCCGCCTTGCGACGGTGTCCGAGCACGGACGAGAACTTCCTCGGCTTACTCGGAGCCTTGCCGCCACTACCAGCAGCGGCGTCGGACGCCTCCTCGACCACCTTCTCCTTCAGAGAAGCCGCCACCTGGTGATCCGCGAGCGGTCCGATGACATCAGTCAAGGGAAGGGCCTACGCTAAGTCCGATCACAAGCTGATTCCAAATGAAGGAGGAAAAAGACATTTGAATAGACTTACATTGATTGCCTCGTCGCGTTCCACCGCTCCCTTGTCACAAAGGGGCGCGGGGATGTTGCTCGCGGTTGACGGGCCGATGATCATCACTTGACCAACGCGCCGCTCCACGCCGTCGCTGCTCAGAGCTGTCAAGGAAGAATTAATTTCCGATAAGTCGAAAGCGAACGCGAGTACAGTCATATCAAAATGAATACAAGAAAGATACCCCGAGGAGAAACCCGGGTCGCGTCATCTGGCCCGGAATAGTTATATGCCGGGTGGGCCCGAGCCTGAAGCGGCTGGATCCGCCTACCAACGAAGTCTGCGATGACTTCATACCCCGATAAGCCCCGTTCTCGGAGATCATCGATGATGTCGATAAACGATTGGAGAGATGGGGTCAAAGGGGGCTTGGCGGTCCAAACCGGAATTTTGTCCGGCTGCTCCTCAGGAACAATTAGGGCAGGATCCGAGTCCTTGATCTCGAGATAAAACCACATGTTCCGCCATTTGTTGCGAGAAGAGGGGCACTGGAAGGGGACGTAGCGCGACTTCATTCCGTCACGAAGTCGGAACCCAACGCAGCCAGACACTTTGTTGGATTCCATCCAACGCAACTCGTAATAAAAGCGAAACAAATCTAGAAAAGGCTCTACTCCAATGTAGGCCTCACAAAGATGCACGAAAACGCTGAGGAACGCGATGGAGTTGGGATTCAAGTGCAAAGTGAAAGCCCATAGAAGTTTAAAACTAGCAAAAGGAATTCAGAGGGGGGAGGAAGAAACCCGCAGACAATGTAATCCTCAATCGCAACCATGCGACCTAGGACGGGTTGGGGAGTAGTACCTCCTGCTTCCCTCTCCGCCTTGTCGCGGCCAGGGAGGCCGCCCTCCTCCTGAAGCTTCTTCAGGGTCGCAGCGGTGGAGGTCGATTTCCCAAGATCCATGGCCGTTGGGAGATCGCCGGAAGATCGCCGGGAACGGACGATGAATCGGTGAGGCAAGGGCTTTTTGCGGTGGCGAGTAAGGCGAGGAATGCAAAGGAGCAGTGTATGCCTAATGAAGTAGGCGGACCTCAAAGCTCACGCCCTAAATCCCTTTAAATAGACGCACTCCCGACGGTGCGAATTCCAAGAAACAGGAGAAATCCCCGCCGGAGATTTTTAAGTCCGTTGTGCATGGCGGTTTTTTGGACTTCCGTTCAAAATTCATTCGTGACCGTTGGACTTCAAACGGTGCGCTCGACTACACATCATCTCTTTGGTTCTCGCACCAGGAATGACACGTTCTCGACGCCCGGAGTTGCAAACGGTCACACGAATTCATTTTTGAGCAGAAGTCGGGGGCTACTGTCAGGGTTACGGGTCAGGCATACCCTTTACCCCACGATACACGCCACATACCGACAAGGTATATCCACGTGTACACGGATAAATCCTTTGGCATTTAAGGAAACTCTTCGTAAAGACAACAGATAAGGAGAGACCTTCTCGGACAAGAATTGGGTTACCTACGTATCGTGTCAGGTCTGGTATATCGGAGTCCTACTCAGATAACATCCAATCTGCGGTATAAAAGGGACCCCCCGGGGAGACCACAAGGCATCGAATCTCAGAGCCCCGACAACCAACACAGCCTACGAAGTCAGAGCCTACAAGGAGCCAAGTTGACGAGAGCTAGTCGGATCATCTCGACTACAACCTTGTCGAATCTCCCGAGTTCCGTCTTTTCCTTTGTAATATGTGTTTTCCACCATATAATCCCATATCAACTGGATTAGGGCTATTACCTGTCAAGGGGCCTGAACCAGTATAATTCTCGTCTTTTGATTACTCGATGTCGTATTACGTAGATCCTTATACCAGCGTACCCCAATACCCTCTATATCCGGTCTACGGGTATCCCCCGTCGACAGGGATTTTTTTTATGGATGTGACACATTCTAGTATAATGAATTTGAACCGACATTCTATCTAGATTCATTGTGCTAGGATGTAAGATGTGTCACGTCCTTTTAAAATCTATTATATTTAAGGACGAAGGAAGTATATATATACGATAATGCATACCATTCCATGTATCCGCGCATCAAAACAATAATATCCCCGAAAAGATTCCCACCCGGATCACCCTTTCAATCCCCAAATCGGCAAACCCCCCATCAACCTCCCATTCTCGGCCAGCGTGTCTTACCTGTCAAACCCCATCCCCTCCCTAGTGACGTCACCCGCCCACTGATCTTTTCCGCACCCCCACCCCCACCCCCGGTGGGCCCCACCTGCCACACACCCCCGCGAAAAAAAATATCGGGGCGCCGCGCCGAGATATTTCTCCCCCCGACAAAGCCCCGCGGCTGCCACGTGGAAAAGTACCACCACGTCGGCGTAAAAGCCCGTGCGGTGGGCCCCACCTCCCCCACCTGGACACTTCTCCCCCCTCCCCTCTCCGCCGCCCGGATGAACCGCCTCCGCCTCCTCCTCTCCGATCCGTCGTCGCGCTAGACTATATATCTCGCCGTCGTCTCTGATCTCTCCCTCCACCGGGGAGGCAAGGCGAGATCGTCGCGGGTTCGTTCTGTTCTTCTGGGTTTTCTCTGCTTACGGTTTCTTGCTCTGAATCGCGGTTATTTATTTATTTTTTGAAAAAGAAAAGAAGAAAGTATTTGCTGGTTTCTTGATTTGTTTGTGGGTTGTTCACTTGTTCCCCTCTGATTTGCTTGTGTAGTAATCCAGGGCCTTGTGATTTCTTCGTTCGGGGGGGTGTCCAATTTGGAGAGATTTGGATTCCAGGGTTAATTGTTTTTTTCAATTTTTGTTTGGTTTTGTCCTGCTTCTTGGGAGATTTTGTCATGGGGGATGTGTCGTTGAACCCGCCGATCAACGCCGAGCCGCTGACCAAGGTAAACGATCGAATTTATTTGTATCAAATTTATTGGTTGGGAGTGTCCATACTTTCTGTTTGTGTAGTCTCATGCAGGCTGCAATAACCATGCGTTCTGCGCACCTGATTTCCATTTGTCCATACAAATTTAAAATTCTCGTTTTGATCACATCTTGCAAATTGATGTACGGACACATTTCTCGTTTCTGTATGCACATATTTGGGCCTAAGAAACTGGAGAATGAACATCTTGAACATTTCCTTCAGGGCATCCTCTGTCACTGCAACCAACTGGCAACTGATGATGTCATAGTAAAACTGAAGGAAGATATACATTTTCAGTTTTAAAAAAAACTGACTAAAATTGAATAATTTATCCTTTTCCACTCCTTAAGATTGGCACTTGATCATTTACCACCCCTGTGTCTATGATCAGATCTTCTGATTAAGAACATAGTAATACATATATGATCTTGGACATTTGCTTTCAGGACTTCCTTTCCTACTATGTAACAGCAGTATTCAGTCAATTTTTTTGTATGAGCTAAGCAATTTGCAGACCCTGAATTTTTTAAAAAAAACTTTATGCTGTGATTCTTCTTGGCAGGGAGATCAATTCCTGGACTTGATGTCAGATGGATGGACAAATGAGAGGCACAGCTTGTACATAAGCTCCATGGAGGCATCCTTCATGGAACAACTCTATAGGCATGACCACCATGGGCTTGACAGGAATAGGAGTCATGCGGGTGGCGCAATTGGGTTCAGGGTGCACCGGGAGGGTGTGTGCGACAACCTAAGGTCTGAGAGGAATGATGCTCACGCTCATGATGGAGGCATGAGCTGCTTCCCTGAGAATCCATGGATAAGGCGTTTCAGACCACGCGATGCCGGTGTGAACCGCAAGAATGATGCGGTGGGGTTTTCTGTGGATGACGATGAGTCGGGTACTGACATGGTCCGACAGAGGGTTCGGGTGCATGGAAGAGAAGCGAAGAGTTGTGCTGGAGGAATTCTTGCTGATAAAAGCACAGGTTACTACTTTGGTCATCTTATTTGCAAATCGCTTTCTTCAGTGCAAGTCTTGCTTCTGTTTTGATACGAGTTTAGGATATGTTTATTATTCAGTCTTGACTGTGCAGTTAGACTCTTTAGTTGGTAAATAAGTATGCTCGAAATGGTGCAGTTTTAAATGAAAAGTTATACATAATATGGATCTTATTTGCCCCTGCTGCAAATGTAAAAAAAATTAATGAGTTGAAGTAGCTATTGTGTTCAATTCATGTTTGATCAATGCACAAATTTTGTAACCATGTTTTTTTCTGCATATACTCAACAAGTTGCATCATGGTTCACCAAACAAATTTTCCCTTTTGCCTTTGACTTTTAACTGTTTCGAGAACAACTTTGTTCATAGATTCATCGTATTTATTACCTTATGTGTAATCACATCTAACTTGTAAAAAGATTTTTTCAACACTTATTTTCCTAAAACTAGCTAACAAACAAGCAAGTGTTTGGATCTTTACAAATAATGGAACAGCAGAAACAGATCAGTAAACTGCAATTGCGTATGGTGTTGCACTGTTTCTTGCTTGTGTCAGCAAACTTCATTGATTAATACTATCAATTGTCATCCTTCTCAAGTTCTCATAGCCATGAAACCTGGAATTAACACATGTTTCGTGTTCCTTTTTGCTTGTCCAGAAGTATCTGATCAGAATTTTCCTGACGAAGATGTCGAAGTCGATTCAGAGCCATGCAAGAGGAGGAGGCGGCCTACAAATTCCACTGCTACACCTCATGACCAGACAACATAACAGGATCAATCACCTTCATTTGTTGTAAGCACTGAAATAAGTGGCTAGTGAAAACTGTTACTTTTGCTGCACAGTTTCATGATATCTATGTATTTACCTAACAGGTTGTTCCATCCGGAAAATCACCCGCAGCGACAAAAAGCCAGCGAAGACCAGGAGTTTCGTCGAGACTGAAAGGAAGATTGGAGAACATGGGTTGGGTTGGAATCTTGCTCAACTTGTTGTGGTGATGGGCACTTGTGCTGCTGCTAGTCCTCAGTTGACTAACTGAAATGTATCGTTCGTTCTTGTGGTGTGTATGAGAGGGCTGCATTTGTTTCCTAGTTCATATTTAAATCGATTCTCTGGTAGAACATCAGGCTCAAAGACTGTCCACGATTGAATTGAATTGAACTGTGATGCCTTGTGTTGTATTTCAGCGGCTGTTGTGATCTGCAAGTGGATTCAGTAGTATCCATGCTTTGTCATTACACAACAGAAGTAATAAGAGCTTACTGTTTTGTGAATTCTCGTTAATATTTTTCATGATGTTTGGATGGAAATGGACTCAATTAAAAATTGCGTGCAGAAGCTGTTGCGTCATACCAGGCTTGGGGTCTGGGGGCCTGGTTTGTTCTTCAGATAACTTTTCAAGCTCTGTAACCTGAAGCAAAGCATTAGTTTCAGGCTTTCAGCTTTAACCAATGCCTAGATAGATACCAGGCTACCATCTTCTGATTCTGGTGACATGGATTGGGGTGTTTAGCCCTCTTGGGACATACTCCCTCCGTTTCGAAATGTTTGACACCGTTAACTTTTTAGCACATGTTTGACCGTTCGTCTTATTCAAAAACTTTTGTGAAATATGTAAAATTATATACCTACATAAAAATATATTTAACAATGAATCAAATGATAAGAAAAGAATTAATAATTACTTAAATTTTTTGAATAAGACGAACGGTCAAACATGTGCTAAAAAGTCAACAGCGTCAAACATTTCGAAACGGAGGGAGTATATAGTATCTAGTTATCTAACAGACAAACCCAGATTAACATTTTTCCACCAGAACGCCTACTTAATTTGGTCATGAAACTTGTCACACTTTTGGAAGTGACCAGGATGCAGACACATCAAATCTTTTTAATTACTTTTTCTTTTTGCAATTTTCTTATTATTTCACTGGTGGAGAAACCATCTTTGGTCAGTCAACCAAAATCCACAATAGTCCCGGTTCCACTAAAGATGATCTTTAGTCCCGGTTGGTAGCTACAGTAGGCATATTTGATCTTTAGTTCCGGTTGGTAATACCAACCGGGATCTTTAGTCCCGGTTCGTATGTTGTCAGGGGCTGTCAGGCCCTCCCGTGATCTTTAGTCCCGGTTGTTAACACCAACCGGGACTAAAAATTCTAACTTTAGTCCCGGTTGGTGTTACCAACCGGGAGTAAAGACCGTGATCTTTACTCCCGGTTGGTAAAGTTAGGATTTTTAGTCCCGGTTGTTAAACAACCGGTAAAACAAAACCTCTATCCAGTACACGCGCATGCAAAGTCTCCTATTAATTTCATCCTAATCTCCTCCTCTCCCATCCAGCCATCTCCATCTTATCTTCTTCTCTCCTCCTCTCCTCCCATCCTTCTCTTCCTTCTTCTCTCACCCCATCTCCTCCTCCCCTCTCCTCCCCCTCCTCCCCTCCCTTCCCCTCCGGCGGGGCGGCAGGATGGAGGCCGCCGCCGGCGGCCCGACGCGGGGCGGCGAGATGGAGGCGGCGGCGGGCTGGCGGCGGGCTGCGTCGGGGGCGGCGGCGGCCAGCTGCGCCGGTCGGGAGGCGGCGGCCGGCGCCGGTCGGGATGGCGGCGGCCGGCGCCGGTCGGGAGGCAGCGGCAGGAGAACTTTTTTTTTTCTCTTCTCTTTGCTATCTGATGAATGATGTCGTAGATGTGAACTTTCTTTTTCCTTTCTTTGTTCTCTGTGATGAATGCCCTCTGTGATGAGATGTTGTAGTTCTGAACAAGTGTAAACAATATGGATGCTTTGTTGTTTGATTTTATTCATTCGATCTATGGTTTAGGCTTTGTTGTTGATTTTATTTATTCGATCCACTAGCTTAAGCTAAATAACAATAAAAAAGGAAAAATGCCAACCAGATAAAAGGAAAAGAAAAAAAAACCAAAACTTTTTAGTTCCGGTTAGTAACAACAACCGGGACCATATTTTTAGTCCCGGTTGGTGTTACCAACCGGGACTAAAAATCGATCTTTACTCCCGGTTATTTGAACCGGCGCTAAAGATTGCGATCTTTAGTCCCGGATTCGTAGTCCCGGTTGAAAAACCGGGACTACAAAGGGGTTACCAACCGGGACAACAAAGCGTTTCTCCACCAGTGTTTATATAATCCATTCGATGCTCTTTCTCTCTTTTTTTTAAGAATAAAGAAAGAAAGAGAAGTAGGAGGCAAACTTTCTTGTGTTGGTGTGGACTGTTTGGCCGCTTTTGGGGCGATACTGCAACTATTACTGGTCACGTACCGATCGTACAGTTGTAAGCACCAACAGGAAGACGCAACGGGTAAGCTAAGGCTAACTGAGAGTGACTGGCTCGTGCTGATGATGAGTGGTGACTACTGGAAGGAAGTACAATTCATGCATGTGGATGTTGCTACTTCGATCACTCGTAGCCGTCGGATCTTACAAATGGTAGTGCCACGCTTAGAGAGATTAAACCTTACCATATTTTGGTAATTTGGTAATATTGCTAAGTTTTGACAGAATTTCTTATGTATTTACTAGAGTATGGTAAAAAAAAATAGATGCACATATTTGACAACTTTACTAAAAATTGGTATGGTTTGAAATGACATCAATCTGAACAACCCCTACATATCCACCGACGGATGCGGTAGCTATGCAGTTCCTGGTGTAACTACTACCTCATCCGTATATCCCATAGGTGTCGGTTTTCCAGCCGGCACCAATTTATCAACACCTTTACTTTTGGGCATAGGTGTTGGTTCTTACCACACAACCGACACCTAAAGTATTCAATTAATCAAGAAAAGAAAAGGCCCAACGGAGTAGCTGGTCCACGCTGCTGGATCCGGATGTTCGCGGCGAGGCGCTCGGCGAGGTCGGGGAGGAGTGTGACGGCCTCTACCTCCATCTCCTTCGAGGCCATCGGCCGCCACCTCGCGCCTCCGCGCTAGCCTTCTCCACCACCACTACCATCGCCGAATCTAGGCAAACGCCACGGTCCACGCTGTTGGATCCAGTGGGCTGTTGGTGAGGCGCTCGGCGAGGTCGGGGAGGAGCTTGACGAGGGAAGGATTGTGATGGCCTCCACCTCCTTCCCATACATCGGATGCCACCTCGCCCTTCGCGCTGACTTCTACCCCACCACTGCCATCATCGGACGGAGAGGAGGGCCGAGCCTCCTTCTCCACCATCCGGTCGTTGTCGCTTGATCTAGAGGAGGAGAAGTGGGGGAGGTGGATGCAGAGGAGGGGAGATGCCGAGGAGGGTGGAGAGGAAGAAGAAGAAGAAGAAGAAGAAGAAGAAGAAGAAGAAGAAGAAGAAGAAGAAGAAGAAGAAGAGGAGGAGGAGGAGGAGGAGGAGGAGAGTGCGAGAGTGAGATAGGGCGATGGGAGTGGATAAGGTTAGGAGACATGGGGCGGGGCACGATTTTTATCGTGGTGGGGTGTTGGCTCAGCTCGGCTCGAGCATCAGTTTTTTTAAGAAAAATCGGCATCTATAGTTTAGCATAGCTGCTACTTTTTTTTTTTGAAAAAAAGAAAGTACAAATACTATAGGTGCCGGTTTTTATCTTAAACTAGCATATATAATATTAGTCTATGGAAGCAAATCTTATGATACTTCTTCCGTCCAATAAAACCTAACCTATTTAAATGTAGGACATAACATTCCATCTCAATTATTCTGCCTTACTATCTTGTGTTTTATCTCTAAGTAGATTTGGTTTTTTTGGATGGAGAGATTTTTTTATGGAGAGAGTAGGTTCTGGTACTTTGTTATGGCCCGCATTCCAATAACACAGTTACCCATGCAGTTAATAAGTGAGCGAAACTCGGATCCCACGGTTTATAGTGCTTGTGCCTTGTCTTGTGTTCTTTGTTGTGTCACGTGTATATGCTACGGATGGACGGGAACTTTTGAAAATGTAACGCTTTTCGTTTATCTAAATAAAAGGTGGTCGTGAACAATTTTCAAATAGTTTGGAAGTTCCTCATGGTTCATGGGCTGTATGTTGATGAAGTGAATGTTTGTTAAACTTACACATTCAGATCTGGATCAAACTATGTTCTATATATATATATATATCCTCCAAATAATATTTGACATGGGAAAATCACAAAACCTTATATCGTTGACTTACCTTTTTCCAATTTCTTGTATTTTTTTTAAAAAAATATGGTGTGTGAACAGTATAGGTGAAACAAGACTTTTTGACAGATTCCAAGAAAAAATGGGTAACGTTTGTTGTGTGGGATATTTTCGAACATACTTCCTTTATTTTAAAATATATGATGCTATTAACTACTAGTAATATTTATCATTTCTCTTATTGAAAACTGAGTGTAAATATAAGAAAATATAAGTTATACTTCAAGTAAACAAGCCAAAACAAAATAAATGGTACTATATATATATATATATATCTCAATTCCCAGAAAGCATCATTTATGCCTAAGACGGACCCACCATGATTCATGGGTATTCAAAATAATACCCAAGACTTTTATTAAAAAAAATATGTATAAAGTATATGTATTTAGGAAAAAAATAGAAAAGAGGGCCTTTGAAGTCTAGAACTATAAAAAAAATAAAGTATTTGTATGATAGAGGTAGTGCTTAGTACTTAAGGTAAATGGTCGTTCAAAAAATTATAGTAAATATATTTAAAAACAAAGGTCTCACTACTTAACTAGCTAGAAGCCTAGGAGTATTATTATTCTTATACTCTCACTAAATATTTAAAACGTCTCCACTATATGTAATTTAGACAATTTTGTTCGTGTTGCTTACTTTGACTTTGTTTTATTCAATGCATACTAGCAAACAAATTAATGAGCTATTCTGTCAAATGAAATATATTGATGGGATTTTCAAGAAATTTCGCTATGATTGACTGGTTGAGGTTATAGCTGGCTGATTGGACAGAAACAGTAAAACCAAATTTGGAAGCAACTGTACCCAAACCAAGCCTAACCCAAGCTGCCTATATAGCCCAACTCGACGAGCACGTACACACAGTGTGACACGAGAGTAGCTAGGGTGACGAGACCGCGGCGGCGCGAGATGCTGAATCTCGGAGTACGTAGATCGAGCTCGATCGTCCGCGCGACCGACCAATGCTTCCTGCTCCGACCAGCTGCTGCCGCGCCGCCCCGCCGCCGTCTCGCCCCTCCTGCCTGTCGCCGGCCGCGGCGGCGGCGGCGAGGAGGAGGAGGATGGCGGCGGTGAGGAGCGCGGCGGCGTCGGCGTCGCGGGTGAGCAGAGAAGAGGCGGTGGCGAGGATGCCGCCGCTGGCACACCGGGAGGTGATGCTGGCGGTGGCCGGCGAGGCGGAGGCGCGGCTCGGGGCGCGGCTGCTGCCGTCGGAGGTGCCCGCCGACGTCGCGTGGTTCGGCAACGCCGCCGGGGACGCCGTCGGCTCCGTCGACGTGCGCCGCGGCGCGCCGGGATCCTCGGTACGTACACACACAGCAGCGCGTTGCGAGTTTTTTTTGTTCTTTTTTTCCGTTCGATGGATGGATCGTTGAGAACGAAAGATCAAAGCGGCGAATTTTCCTTACGTTTTGAATGGGTTTTCGAGGAAGAAAAAAAACATAGTAGTTTTTGGTCGGGTTACATTGAAATGTACTCCCTCCGTCTACAAAAGCACTCACCTAAATGAAAATATAACACCTACTAGTATAATAAATATGTACTTCACATCTCTTTCTAAGCTGATTTTTTTTCTTTACGGAGGGAGTACGTGCACGTGTGCTGGCTTCATAGTCAAATTTTGGTTGTTAGAACTGAGTTGAAAATTTGGAAGCACAAAGTTTTAAAATGCATGGAAATCTACAAATCTCATCACTTCCAAATATCTTTAAAGCTAAGGCCCCGTTCGAATCTCCTAAAAGGATGTAGGTTAAAAGCGGGCACATAAAACGAGAAAGTCATTAACGCGTGATTAATTAAATCTAAATTATTACAAACTTGAAAAATAAATTTATCTAACGTTTTAAAGCAACTTCTATATTGAAAGCTTTCGCATAAAATATACCGTTTAATAGTTTGAAAACTTTTACTACATTTTTCCCATATAAACTGTCTAGGTTGTGTAGCATATATTAGGGTGTGTTTGGTTCACGGTCATATATGGATGGGATATGTCCATCATATTTTGTTAAATATGGCTATCTAATTTTTTGTTTGGTTTGTATGGATATAGCGATCCAATTTCTTATTTGATTGGAGGGATATCCCATGAATGGAAAAATGCAAAAGTTAGTGGGGGCCCATTTGTCATTATATATTTTTATCAAAATATAATCATCCGATATCTTGTTTTAAAGATTTAATTGTAACAAATATATATATATATATATAATGGTGTAATCAAATCATAAATTAGATAAACGGTTTAGGAGAAAAAAATCATTTAGACCTTGCTTAACAGAAAATCAAACCAACCACAGCCAATCAGAATATGACACATCATCTAGACCAAAACTGGATGGCTTCATCCAGCCAAATCGCATATTGAGGGAATATTCCCTATTTCGGGCCGCCCCATCCACCCTGCCCTTCAACCAAACACCTCGAAAAATCGGGCGGTCATCTCCCATCGAGGCTCATCCACCCAACCAAACACACCCTTAAGGCCTTAAGGATTGAGAAGAAAGGCTATGATACATCTTATTTAAATAATGTATTGGTAAGAGTCGAAGTGTAGTTGAGGATCAAATAGGGAGAGATTTAATAAGAAGTGATTAATAGGACCATCGGTACTCTATTATGACAATTATTTTGGGACAAATTCATATCCCATAAATACAATTATTATGGGACATAGATAGAACGGTATAATCCAGCTCTCAGCTCCTTAACCGTAAATTTGTAGTAATAATTTATTTATTTCGTCCTTTGCACACAGATCGCCTTCATGCTGGAGGCGTGGTTCCACCGCGAGCTCCCCGGCGGCGGCGGAGGCGCCATCGACATCACCGCCCTCATCGTCAACCTCAACGGCGCCACCGACGCGCCGCACCTCGTCATGGAGTTCATCCAGGGCGGGCCGGCCTCCCTCATCGTCCTCCTCGACCTCCTCCCGCGCGTCGACCTCCCGCTCCACCCCTCCTACATCCACCGGTACTACGCCGCCACGGGCCTCGACGCCCGCGCCCGCCGCCGGGTCGCCGGCCTGGTGCCGCAGTCCCGCCCCTACGTCTCGCCGTCGCTGCTCGTCCGCAGCCTGTGGTCGCCGGCGGCCGTCGTGGCCGACGTCCAGTGCGGCGAGGGCCCTGGAGGGGCGGCGGCGCTGGACGGGATCGTCCGCGGCGAGCTCGCCGCCACGGCCATGGACGTGCTCGGCGTCTGGCTCGAGCACTGCGCCGGCGGCGGCGGCGGCGGGGAGATGGAGGCGGCGGAGAGGGAGCGGATGGTGGCGAGGGACAGGAAGGTGGCGGCGGCGGAGCTGGAGGTCAACCTGGCGGCGAACCTGCCGAGGATGTTCGACGCCGGCGTCGCCGACAGAGTCGTCGCCGAGATCCGCAAGGCGTTCATGGGAAGCTAATTAAGCATTTTTTTTGCATGGCTCTAGAGGTTTCTCTCGCCACCACATCCATCCGCTTATTATCTTTGTATATATATTTCTTTTTTTTTTACGTAAGGAGTTCATTTCGGTATTTACTTTCAAGAAGCTAGAGCTAAACTAATCTTTGTAGATTTGTTTTGAAGATAGGAAGTTTAATTATATACTTCCTCCGTCCCTAAATATTTAATGTTGTTGACTTTTTTAAACGTATTTGACCGTTTGTCTTATTCAAAAAAATTTTGTGAAACATATAAAACTATATGTATACATAAAAGTATATTTAACATTGAATCAAATGATAAGGAAAGAATTAATAATTACTTAATTTTTTTAATAAGACGAACGGTCAAACATTACTTAAAAAAAAGTCAACGGCGTTAAATATTTTGGGAGGGAGTACTAATTACTACTCCATTCGTTTCGTATTCCTAGTCAAATTTTTTATTAGTATAATTAAATTTATAGAAAAGTTAACAACATCTATGACATCAACTTTAGATTTTAATATATTTTAATAATATGTTCCTTTTGTGTTAAAAGTATTGTTATATTTTTTGTAAACTTAATTAATCTTAAAAAAGCTTGATTAGCAAAAAGTGAAAATAACTTTGTGAAATAGAGCTAATAATAATCAACGTTAATCACAGTGTATGTCTGCAAAGTGCAAACACTAGCTAGTATACAGTACATTTTATTTATTTAAAACTGCATGCTTTCAAATCATTCTATGGACTTCATGCTGCACAAGTCATCTTTATCTCCGGTTCGTAATTGCCTGTTTCCCGGTTATACAACCGGGAGTCCAAATCCGGAACTAAAGATAGATATCCAGGACTAAAAAACACAATCTTATTCTGCTTATAAACTGGGACTAAAAGATATATTTAGTCTTGGTTTTTATTGGAACCGAAACTATTGTGGTTTTTAGCTGACCGAGTAAAGATGGTTTCTCCAGTAGTGCTTCCACTTCAAATTACTTTTGTACTAATTATTTCGTGGGTGAGTTCTGGCATTGACACTGAAGGCACGTGCTGTACTATTACTTTCTTTGCCACATTTGTGACTAACTGGGTTATGGAAAAACTTGTGATTAACTGGATTGTGGTATAGTTAAGCAACATTGAGATAGAGTAATAAATAAAATACTCCCTCCATTTTTATCTACCTTTCACTTTTGACCATCACACATAACAACACAATCACCTTTTTCTAGGTAAAATGACCAAAATAACCCTAAATTAAGTGGTATACATAATTTATAAGTTTCTAAATACATATGCCACATAAGAGCATCACCAACTTAGTATCAAAATATAATCCCCTAAACCTTTTGTTTGGGAATCTCTAATCAGATTTAAGAAAAAAAATATGCTCTCCTCCAAGATAGCCTATTTTAACTTCTCAAAACAACAAAAACAATGGCCCAACTACAAAACTTCCAAACAAAATTAAATCAGCATCCTTTTTTCTATTCTGATGGGACGAGCCATCCTCTCGGTGCAGGCAAACTCGCTCGGTGATGGGATTGGGAGCTAGACCCTCTTCAAACTTGCGGAGAGCTAGATTTCTGCATATAGGCATAAGGATTTTTCGGGAGTGTTTGTATAGTGCTACTGTTGGATGCTGATTTTTTTTACCTAAACACCCGAAATTTAAGATTGGGAGTAGTATAGATAATTGTTTGGCATGTTCTAATATCTTCTTATTATTAGGCCCCACTAGAGACAAAACGCTACCTTGATAAATGATTACTTGGATCCATATCACTACGAATATGTAATTTTAGATAAAAATTAGTACTATTCACAATATCGGCTATGACGTGTCATTCGGATTTAGGGAAATCGGAACCGTGTCACTCTATCGCTATATCCATCAAAACTTTTCGTTAGCATCAATTGCACGTGGGACCTAGCTGTCAATTCCAGGTTTTTCTCCTCCCTTCACTCTCCTCTCTTTCCCCTACCCCCTATCTCTCTCTCTCTCCGGCGCTCATCGTCACCGCCACCGTCGTCGACCACCTCCGCGGCGGGAAAGTTCGGGAGCTGCCACCGCCATCTTCTTTGACTCCATCCACGGCAGGAGAGCTTGGGAACCACCGCCGTTGTCAATCTTCTCCCATCCGTGGCGGGAGGGCTCAGGAGATGCCAACGCTGTCGTCTTCAACCCCATCCACGGTGGGAGGGCTTGGGAGCCACTGTCGTCATCGACCTTATCCCATCCGCAGTGGGAGGGCTCGGTCGCCGCCGTCGATGTCCCTTGTAGCAGTCGTAGAAGATGGAGGAAGAGATAGGGAATAAAGAAGAGGGAGGATGGAGAAAGATGGAACTGATATGTGGGTCTAACGCCTAGGGGTCTGACGGGAAATGCAACGGTGATAGTGTAGTTCTAACTCCTCAAATTTCAGTGGCACGTAACCAATATCATGAATAGTAGTGGCATTTATCCGAAATGGCATATTTATAGTTGGCGTGGATCCTATTAACCTTTTAAACGTTTAGTGATAAGTATTCGCAGAAACTAAAAAGTGATCAAAATAAATGAAAAGGGAGTTGTGAACTCTCTAGTTCTCATATATAAATAAAAAACGAATTCATTCAGTGATTTAGAGACAATGACAAATCATTTGTTGGTTGCGGATCATCTCACTCAACCACACTTCAGTGATTAAACATGGGTCGGGGCCCCTATTTGACAAGGGAACTGAACCCATTTCATTGACCTTCAAACCGCTCTTGCCCTCCCCTTTCACTTCTATAGTGGTCTTCTTTGGCCGGCCCACTCATTTCACTCTCAAGCTCTCTGAGAAGATTCAAGATGTTTCGAATTCTCCTTCAGTAATATGGCCCCCACAATAATTAGAGGGGGGAAAAAGGAAAATGAAGAGCTAGTGGACTGAGGAAGAAAGCTAGTGTGCAGCATCTGGCCTTTTGTGAGCTTTGGGCCTTGGCCCATGGAGCGATAAGCAGCAACAGCAGTGAGTGATCAGCAGTAGCAGATGGCCTCAAGTGTATTAAGGTTTAGGTGGTGTGTTTAATCTCCTGAAGATAAATATAAAGATGAAGATTAAGTGTTTCACGCAAAACGATGTAGTAATAATATATGATTAATTAAGTTTTAATTATTACAAACTTGAAAAATGGATTAATATGATATTTTAGAACAACTTTCATATAAAAAGTTTTCCCACGAAACGTATCGTTTAGCAGTTTGAAAAACGTGTCACGAGTATCCAAAAGTTTATCCAACTTTTATTGGAGAAAAGAATAGGGCATAAGTATCACCTCGGTTCCCAAGCTTATGCGCTACATGGTGAGCTGCCCAGTCATTAGCATGGTACTTCCTCCGTTTTATATTATAAGATTTTCTAACATTACCCACATTCATATATATGTTAATAAATCTAGATATATATGTGTCTAGATTCATTAACATTTATATGAATATAGGGAATGCTAGAAAGTCTTATAACCTGAAACGGAGGAAGTATAAAAGAAAAAAACCAACTCATGTGGTGTTTGCGAAGGAGGGACTAAACTAGTCATTTTTGTGATTCCCAAATACCACCTCAATTGGCATTATCTCACATTTCAGTAATGCAGTGTCCGTAAAAAAAACAAGGCATTTGCAAATTGCAATAGATAATGTCTTGGAATCTGATGGATTTGTAACAGCAGCTTTCAGATCTCTCTTTCAATCATCTCCTATGTATATACTGCACTAGTTACAAAAGTAAAAGAGGGATAGTTCTACACGTTCACGGAATCCTTCTCACTCCCTCTCGCTCACATTCATCTCTCGCTCCGTTCGTCCACGCGTCGAACACCTCGCCGTGATCCAATGCTCCAACTCCGCTCGCCGCCGCCGGCGACCAGCTCGCCGTCCTCCGCCGTCTCCTTCCCGACCCTCGCTCCTCGCCTCCTCCCCCTCCGCCGCCGCCGCCGCGGCGCGGGTTCCCAGCTCGGGGGCAAAACGTCGAGCGCCGTGCGCGCGTCGTCGGCGGCGGCGCCGGGCGCGACGGAGCCGGAGGTGATGGTGGAGGTGGCGCACCGGGAGGTGGCGCGGGCGCTCGCGTCCCTGGCGGAGGCGCGGCTGGGCGCGCGGCTGCTCCCCTCCGCCGTGCCGCCCGACGTCGCCGAGTTCCGCAGCGGCGGCGGCGCCGGGAACGCCGTGGGCTCGCTCGACGTGCGCCGCGGCGCGCCGGGATCGACGGTAATGGCACCCCTCCTCTCACTTTTGCTCGTCAGATCGTACAGATTTACCTGTTCTGTCGATTGGAGAACATCAGAATCAGTCATATGAATTAGTGAAATGGTAGTGGTAAACTGGTAATGTCTAGAGCACCATCAGAATCAGTCATATGAATTAAGTAGTGAATCATATGAATTAACTAATTAAGTAGTGAAATGGTAGTGGTAAACTGGTAAAAACAGGCTGGCACAAACAGAGCAGAATAGATCAATGGCATGTCAAAAGACTTGGACAATTTACTGAAACTGTTTTACACTGAAAAATTGCTGCCGAACTATTTGTGATTTGCCCTATCAAGGTGAACTTGCAAACTTTTAGAAGCCAAGATCCATAATCCAACTCTTCGGAGCAAATTATGACTTTTCATTATATTGGCAATGCTCAAATTAGTTCATTTGCTTCCAATATCGAAATGGAAACAATTGGTCTGTTCTAGAGTTTGTACCTCATTCGTGATTCTTCCTATCACTCACAGATTTTGTTTCCTCTCCAAAAACAAAAAAACAAAATCACTCCAACTGAACGGACACAATTGGAGTGGCCAAAATGATCAACAGCATTCAAATTATGAAACTAATCTCACCACTTGAACACCTGAATTATGCTCCCTAGTGCTCAGTAGCTTAGCGTGGTAGAATTTCTTGAGTTCTGCAAGGAATGACAAATGGAGTTAAATTATTAATTTTTCTTGTCTACAGATTGATTTCATGCTCCAGTCCTCACTACACTGCAAAGTCCCAAATGGCGCAATCGACATTACATCTCTTCTCATCTTTCTGAACGCCTCGACAGATGCTCCGCATTTCCTCATGGAATTTATACAAGGTAGCCCAACTTCGATCGTGGTGCTTCTGGACCTTCTCCCACGGAAAGACCTTGCGCTCCATCCCGAATACATAGAGAGATACTATGAGAATACTCAGGTGGACAAACAGCGTGAGAAGGTCGAAGAATTGCCGCAGGCCCGTCCATACCGATCGCGATCCCTCTTCGTGCGCAGCACCTTCTCACTGACAGCAATACTGATGAGCATCGACTGTGGGCAAGGAGGAGAGGGTACCTTGGAAGAGATAGTGCGTGGTCAACTAGCAACAGCTGCTAGGGCACTTCTTCAAATTTGGCTTGATAGTTGTGCTGATCATACTTCAGAGATGGAAGAAGGCGAGAGAGAAAACATGATAAAGAGGGACCAAATTGTAAGGTCCAAGTCAATCGAGGTCGACCTGACTTCAAATTTGCCGAGGATGTTTGGTCCCGATGTCGCAGACCGAGTCATAGCTGAAATCCAGAAGGCCTTTGGGGTACAAGAGGCCTAGCTTTAGAACTGTGACCAGGAATTCATCTGTACATCATTCGAAAGTAATGTTAGTAGTCTTTTGTCCCTTTTGCTTGAACAATCAGATATATTGTGTGATTATAAATTTATAATTGCAAATACCATCAGATGTCATAATTTTGTCTATACAATTATACAAACCAATGTAGTGTTGGTTTTCATGCCGATTTTTTACTCTAGCCGTTTCAACCCAAATCTCGGCCTCCTCTAGAGATACATCGATGCCCTCATTAAAAGAAAGTGCCCAAAAAGATAATATAATTTATAAGTACCAGTAAACTGATTTCACGGGTGGTTTCCTCAATTTCTTAAAGAGAAAGGACAGTCAATTATTTTATTTTACAAATGTATTACTAGTTAATGGATAACTTTACATACCGTGTTTACATATTCTCATCCCATTAAAAATTTGCGATGAATCTAACTGCCTAATTTCATAGATCAACGCACCAGTTTATGACAAAATTGAAATGCTATCAATCAGAAATTCACTAACTACCAGCCATACTAATCCTGGCTCCCTACAGCTACTCGCAGCTCTAGAAGCACACATGGCACAAAACATAAACTCCAAGTTTTTTGGAGAGTTGTTTTTGCCTTCTCTTTTCGGTTGAAATACACAATTATTGTATCAAGAATGGAGAGTTCGAACGGCAAAGCCAAAAGGAAAAAATGTAAACAGAAAACAGCATCTTTTTTTTGACAACAGGCATATATTACCCGGCTTTAGAAAAAGCCCAAACGAAACAGAGTTCTTACAGAAAAACGAAACAAAAGGAAACAAAAAACTGGGGATTCCAGTTTTCCAAACCAGCTCAACAAAAGCTTGGACATCCACTAAACCTAGCCCCCTTCCAGACATTTTAACACCCACAACAAAAGACCAAATATTTTCAGAGCCCATTCCCATGAACTATCCTATATCATCAGGAAGATTATCAGTCGGCTTCAGCACTTCCAACGTCAGCATTATCTTTGCTTGAAAGACATCCAAGCTAGTACACTCCTTTTCTTTTAGCAGCACCTTCCACCTTTGCATCAAAGACAAAGACCTGTACACGACCTGCAAAGGTGATTTGATCAGTTTATTGTTAAAAACCCAATTATTTCTGGTAATCCACAAACCCCAGGTCATTCCTGCAAAAACCACCATTCCCCCCTGAAACCCCATTTTCTTGGTTACAACCTTGATACAATCCCAGAAAGAGATAGGTACATTATGCAAATTTAGAACTATAGCAATTACACTCCAAGCAAATTTAGCAATGGGACAAGTAAATAAAACATGTGTAGTGCTTTCTTCCCCTAGACAAAGCTTGCTCTGTACATGGAATCCTGTTTCTCCCTGTCATATAGAGGAAATGCATGATTTTTAGAGGTATCTTGCACCTCCACACCCCTTGGATTTCTTGATCTACCACCCCTCCAAATTTTAGCACCCTATACATAGATCTTGTGGAGAAAATTTTCTTTTTGTCATGAGGCCAAATCACCATGTCTCTCTCTCCATTTAGAGTAACCCCCTCCAGCTCCCTCTGCAGTTTATCCAACTCTAGTCTATCTTGACTGTTCAAGTTCCTTCTGAAATGTAAATCCCAATCCCCCCCATCCCACAACTCATTCACAGTGCCTTGTGTTGATAACTTGCTGAATACAGAGATGGGAAGCAGCCAAGCAGGTTTTTAAAGACACTTTGTTCAGCCACACATCCTCCCAGAAAAGGGTTTGATTACCCCCTCCACCTTTTTCTCAATCAACCTTTCCAGAACTGCACCACAATCATGTAAACCTTTCCAAAACTGAGACCCCCCCAACAGCAGAACTTTGAAAGGAGAGAAATTCTACAATCCTTGAGGAGGTACCAAAAATTTAGTGTAAAATTTGGTACCTCATAGTACGTAGGTATCAAGAGATACCAAATTTATAGTAGAAAACGTGGTACTCTTCAAGGACTGTAAAATTGCTCTTGAAAGAAACCCTTGTGACCCAGATATTTCTTCCTAAGAACAGTACAACTCATATCCCCCCCGCATCCTTCCAACCTTGCAATTTAGCATATTAGCTATCTCTTCCTCCACTTCTTTTGTCACCCCCAAAACATAAACGCCACTTTTTTGATAATTGATTTTCATTCCAGATATCTCAAAACAAAACAGAAGAAACTTGAGAGCTAAATATTTTCTCTGGTAGCCTTAGTAAAAAGAATGGTGTCATCAGCATATTGAAGGTGAGTTAAACCCCCCTCTACCAAACCTGGAACTAAACCCTCTTAAGACCCCATTTCTGGCAGCTTCTTCTAAAATAGCTGACAGAGCATCCCCCACCAGGTTAAACAAAATAGGTGACAAAGGGTCACCCTGTCTCAACCCCCTGAAAGTTTTAAAAAAAGGGCCCATCTGCCCCATTTATATTTATGCCCATCTGCCCCATTTATATTTATGCTCATCTTACCCCCCTCACTGATCTTTTTAATCCAACTTATAACCCGCTGGTCAAAGTTTTTCTTCTGCAACACCTCATACAGGAAATCCCATTGAACTCTATCATAAGCCTTTTCAAAATCAATAAAACAGCAATTTTGGAGTTGTATCGAAGGCAGCAGGAAAGAAGAAACACAAGCACATGAGGAAAAAAATCGATTTCGATTTTTTTTAATAATGGAATAACATTCCAGCCTTTGAATCGATTTCGATTTATGCGTGCCTCAGATGAACTGCGTAAGAATGCATATCACCACTGCTGCGCACCCAGCGGCACGCGAACAAATTCATCGAATTCACCATTGCTAGCTCTTTAATCATCACCAGCACGACAGAATCGAAATGGAAGTCTTCAGAAATCAAATTAAAGAATCAATCGGCCTTGAAAATTGAAACACAAGTCTTCACAAATCATATTAAGAAGCAATTGTTTTTTTTTAGATAATGGAATAACATTCCGGCCTTTTAATCGATTTCGATTTATGCGTGCCTCATATGAACTGCGTAAGGATGCATATCACCACTGCTGCGCACCCAGCAGCACGCGAACAAATTCATCGAATTCACCATTGCTAGCTCTTTAATCATCACCAGCACGACAGAATCGAAATGGAAGTCTTCAGAAATCAAATAAAAGAATCAATCGGCCTTGAAAATTGAAACACGAGTCTTCACAAATCATATTAAGAAGCAATTGGACCACGGTAGATGTGGTAGACAGATCAATCAAACAAACAGAATTGTCTATTGCTCCAGCAAGATTCTGGAAAAAAAATCAGGATCTACCATTCCTTTAAGGCAAAATTCTGACAAAAATCCGGATTTGCTAGCCTTGTTCGTTTAAACCCAAGAGAGAATGAATGGAGGGGATTGAGGGGGAATAATTCCACACCACAATAACAATAGGTGTGGAATAAATCCCCTCCAAATCTCCCTCAATCCCCTTGTGGGAGGGATTAAACGAACTAGGCATAGAGCTGAATTCCATCTATTGTGGGGGGGTGGGGTGGGGGGGGGAGGGGCAAAACCTGCAATCCCCCATCTCTCTTTAATATAGAGCCGCAGCCCAGCAATGATGAATTTATACATTTTCATACCTTGCCGCTCTACCAGCCTGGAGTACCAGTCGTAATTTCAAAACCTAGTAATTCTGACAACCTGCAAGTAACTACGCACACGAGTCAAATTAAGGAGAGGTTAGAAGAAAAAAAATATATTTTCCATAGAAGAACTCACAGAAGAACAGAGAGAAAAAAAAAATCTCCAGCCGCGCGCGCACACAGCGGCACGCGAGCACATTAATCCAGGATTCACCATTTTTAACTTCTTTAATCATCACTAGCACGCAAGAAAAACTGAAAACACCAATCTTCAAAGAACAAATACCCAGCCCAATCGAACCACGGGAGATGTATACCAGATCTAAAAAAACCAAGATAAATCACTAAAACAAACCAACAGAAATTACTACTAGTATGTATCCTTGGCTCCAGCTGGAGATCCAACAGAACAACCCTTTTTTTTAAAAAAAAAAACGAGAATTAAGCAAAGTAAAAAAGAAAAACCAATAGACCAAATCGACACCTGATGGGAGAAGGACTGAAGGACTAGGGATTAACAAGAAGTACAAGCCCGAATCCTCACCCAGACGCGCGAAGGGAGGATGGGAAATACGAGATGGGAGATGCGGCGGGGAGGAACTGAAGGCGAGAGCTGATGTGATGAGATGAGATGAGGACACTCAAAGCTCAAAAAAAGAATGAGGAAGAAGAAAAAGCCATACGCCCCATACATGGACCGGCAGCTAGACGAGCACGTGGACGGCTGAGATGCGCCGGGCGGCGGAACGGACGGCACAGATCTGCTCACGCCCCCATCACACGATCCCTATCAGCTATCGTTTTCCTCCTATCTCATCCTCAGGCAGCTTTTTGTTGTCCCTGGTACGTGAATTTAACACTGGGATTAGGTGCTCTTTATATGCTTTTCAAAAAAAAGTATAAACATATATGCTCATAACACATGCTCCCTCTGTCCTATTATAAGTGCAGTCACCAGTCATGAGTTTTGTACCCAACTTTAATCATTTATCTTATTTGAAAATTTTTTACGATTAGTATTTTTATCGTTATTAGATGATAAAACATGAATAGTACTTTATGCGTGACTTATGTTTTTAAACTTTTTTAAAAAATTTAAATAAGATGGACGATCACGGAAAATCACGACTGCACTTATAATGGGACAGAGGTAGTACTATGAACCCATACACACATACCCTACCCCTATGAACACCTTTGAAAAACTGTGTCAACATATCTCATTGGAAGATCAATTAGCCGTAACGGTGTCAAATCTAGATTTTGATTTTAGGTGAGTTGGTTAAAAAAAATACAAACTAGTTGAGCTACACTCACTCAGATAGTTTAAAAGCTTATAGTTTTAATTTAATTTTTCAGCTTAGTTGTTTTATAAACGGTAATTTTGGAGTCATATATAGCAATGTAAAAATGCTTATAGCTTTAAAGAAAACCAAATAAAAAATGTTGTCTTTTAGGCTTAATTTTTTTTCAAAAACTAGCATATAAACCTAATCACAGAGTGCCTTAATTTGAACTGCTCGTAAAAGTTCAATTATGAATGTTCAGTTGTTGGCGTTGCTGTGGCTGCATGCCGCAGCAAAAAGAAGCCGAAACAGGCCAATTATCTCATATTTTCACCGTCTCGAGATTTCTTTTTGCAGTAGAAATGTCCTTTCGATGGATTTTGTAACACAGAGTCATTTTTCTATAAGAAAAAAAAAGAGGAAAATCTCACTCCCCTCTCACCTCGCGTCGTTCATGCTCCGCCCAGAGCACCACCTCCGCTCGCCGCCGGCGACCTCCCCGGCCCACTCCACCATCTCCTACCCGCCCCTCCGCCACCGCGGCGCGTTCCGGCTCCCCCGCGCGGCGCCTCCCCAGCTCAGGGGCGCCGTGCGCGCGTGCGCGCCCGCGTCCGCGTCGTCGGTGCCGGGCGCGACGGCGCCATTGGAGGTGGAGGTGGCGGTGGCGCACCGGGAGGTGGCTCGGGAGCTCGCGTCCCGGGCGGAGGCGCGGCTGGGCGCGCGGCTGCTCCCCTCCGCCGTGCCGCCCGACGTCGCCAAGTTCCGCAGCGGCGGCGGCGGCGCCGGGAACGCCGTGGGCTCGCTCGACGTGCGCCGCGGCGCGCCGGGATCGACGGTAATGGCACCCCCTTCCTCTCTCACATTTGTTCGTCAGATCATACAGATTTTAGCTTGTGCCTGCGCGATTGGCTTAGCTTCTCTCCCCACGAAGTATAAGCTGCTAATTAAAATTTACTGTTCTGTTAATTGGAGATTATTTCTACTGCAGTAATTTCTAGAGCACAATTAGTCATATGAAATAGTGAAATTGTAGTGACAGGCAGGTAGAGTAGAGCAATCCTATGACGAAATGCAGTAAATTACACTGAAACTGTTTCAGTACAGTTTACTGAAACTGTTTTACACTGAAAATTTGCTGCCGAACTATTCGTGATTGCCCTATCAAGGTGAACTTGCAAGCTTTGAGAAGCCAAGATCCACAATCCAACTCTTTGGAGCAAATTATGATTGTTTGTTAGATTAGTAATGCTCAAATTAGTTGATTTATTAGTGCTGCGAAACATCCAAGATTGAAATGGCAACAATTGGTCTGCTCAAGCGTTTGTGCCTCATTCGTGATCTTTTCCTACCACTCAAAGATTTCTTTTTACTCTCCAAAGAAAAGGTATCTCACCAATTGAACAGATACAATTGGAGTGGCCAAAATGATCAATGGCATTCAAACAATGTTATTAATCTCACCACTTGAACACCTGAATCAAGCTGCCTAATGCTTAGCACAGTATAATAATTTCTTGAGTTCTGCAAGGAATGACAAGTGGGGTTGAATTATTATTTTTCTTGTCTACAGATTGATTTCATGCTCCAGTCCTCACTACACTGCAAAGTCCCAAATGGCGCAATCGACATTACATCTCTTCTCATCTTTCTGAACGCCTCGACAGATGCTCCACATTTCCTCATGGAATTTATACAAGGTAGCCCAACTTCGATCGTGGTGCTTCTGGACCTTCTCCCACGGAAAGACCTTGCGCTCCATCCCGAATACATAGAGAGATACTATGAAAATACTCAGGTGGACAAACAGCGTGAGAAGGTCGAAGAATTGCCGCAGGCCCGTCCATACTGATCGCGATCCCTCTTCGTGCGCAGCGCCTTCTCACTGACAGCAATACTGATGAGCATCGACTGTGGGCAAGGAGGAGAGGGTACCTTGGAAGAGATAGTGCGTGGTCAACTAGCAACAGCTGCTAGGGCACTTCTTCAAATTTGGCTTGATAGTTGTGCTGATCATACTTCAGAGATGGAAGAAGGCGAGAGAGAAAACATGATAAAGAGGGACCAAATTGTAAGGTCCAAGTCAATCGAGGTTGACCTGACTTCAAATTTGCCGAGGATGTTTGGTCCCGATGTCGCAGACCGAGTCATAGCTGAAATCCAGAAGGCCTTTGGGGTACAATAGGCCTAGCATTAGAACTGTGTCCAAGGATGCATTAGGATGCTTCTGTACATCATTCAAAAGTAATGTGCACAATCAGATGTACTGTGTGATGATAATAGCAAATAGAATCTGGTGTCTTTTCCATCAGATCAAGGTGTTTATTCAATTATGTAGAATCTCTTTTTCGTCATGTTACGCTTTGTGCATTTGGCTCACTGTCGCAGTTGCTTGGAAGTACTGAAGCTGAACAGAAGATGCAACTCTTCAACCTGTAATCTTGATGTGTGGTTTGCAACTGATGAGGCAAACAGAATTTCCTTCCAAACTAGAGTATCAGTTTTTCTTGTTTGCGATTTCCTTTAAAACTCTCTTCCAGTTTGTGATTTCCTTTCAAACTTTCTCTTCCCACATACTCCCTTCGGTTCCATATTAATTGACATTTTGGATAAGGTTAAGGTTAAACTTTTATAACTTTGACCATCAACAACTTTAAAAATATTTAGTTTAAAGAAACTAGAACAACATATATAAATTTGTCTTTTAAAGCACTATAATAAAAGTAAACATACATTTATTTATTATATATATTATAATAGAAAAATAAAGTTAAAGATATATCTTGTAGACCGTGTCATTGTCCAAAACGTCAATTAAAATTAAACCGGAGGGAGTAGTAGTTAATTAGATGGAGTTTAGTACAATGATCCCATATGGTCTACTTTTTCTAGGTTTGTTAGACCATTCAATACAAACCAGAAACCACCGTTGGTGTTCGTGCCGATTTTATTTTCAAAACGAAGAGCTCTCCAGTTATTCACCCAAATCATGGGTCTCCTGTACAAATGCGTCCGTATTAATTCACAGGTGTTTTCCTCAATTTCTTAGAGAGCAACGACCTTGATGTGATATTTGTTTCAATTTACGTAGTACGTATTACTGGTTAATGGATAAATTTACATCCGTGTTTACATAAATTTACATCCGTGTTTACATATTCTCATTCCATCAAGAATTTGCCAAAAAGGAAAACATAAAACATCAGATTTTGAGGGTTGCATCGAAAGTAACAGAAGAGAAGAAACACATAATAGGGGAACAAACACATGAGAGGAGGAAAAAAAACAATCGATTTCGATTTATGTGTGCCTCTGCGTAAGAATGCATATCACCATCAGGGTTTACCTTATCGTTTGGGCCGGGGTTATCGCCACCCCACGGTAGCGCGATAACCGCGATAATCGCGTGATAATCGTCTAAAATCGCACAAAAATCACATCTAAAAATTTGAATTCAAAACTCGACGGTTTCGCGGTTTCACCGCGATAATCGCACGGTTTGCCACGATAACCGCGATATTCGCACGGTTATCGCGGGCTGTGTAGCTGAAATCATGTAAATGTAAAATAAATAGGGTAAAAAAATCAAAAATATGGTTGAATATGTGTAGAAAACTAGAAATTGAGAATAATTGGAAGAATATGTAGGATACTTAAGGCTCATTATCCTCTTCCTTTTTCAATTTGTAAACCATTTTTGGTTTTGCCCTCAAATTTGAATTTAGCTTACTCTATTTCAAAAAAATTCTTCACCATTGGCAATTACAAATCAAGAACTATATCCATGAATTTTTTCAGTTTTTTTCGATTTTTTTCCAGAATTTTGAATTTGGTCAAAATTCATCCAAACCATATCGCCAGTTTCCCCTACCGTACCCCCGCGATAAGCGCGATAACCGCGATAATCACGCGATTATCGTGCGATAAGTGAAACCCTGACCATAGCTGCGCACCCAGCGGCACGCAAGCACATTCATCGAATTCACCATTGTTAGCTCTTTTAATCATCATCGGCACGCTACAATCGAAACGGAAGTCATCAGAAATCAATCAAGATTAAAGAAGCAGCCGACGTGAAAAATCGAAAACAAAAGGTTTCACAGATTCAAACTAAAGAAGCAATCCGACCGTAGTAGATCTGGCAGACAGATCGATTAACAAACCAAGAAAAAAGTGAGAAACTGTCCATGGTTCCAGCAAAATCCAGAGACAAAATTCAGGATTCGCCACCCGTAAGGCTGAAATTCTAACTATATATTAGGTGGGGGAATTCGATTTCGCGAGAAAGAACTCTTAAGGGGAAATAAAATGGGTTTCGATTCGATTCGATTCGTGCGTGCCTCAGATGAACTGAGCAAGGGATATCACCACGGCCGAGCGCGCGCGCACGCAGCGACACGCGAGCACCGCTCATCCAGAATTCACCATTTTTTATCTCTGTAATCATCACTGGCACGCCAGAACAACAGAAACAAAATCTTCACAAATCGAACCAAAGAGAGTTATACTACCTATCCATGCCTCCACGACTCTACAGCTCGAGAGATCCAACAACACAAAACAAAAAAGAAAGAAAACGAGAGAGAGAACACAATTAAGAAAAAAAAAACACAGAATCAATGAATCAATCGACCAGAGCGGCAATTCGTTAACCCGAGGAGTGGAGACAGATCGAACCAAAGACGAATTGGCGAGAATTCACCGGACGCGAGGGGAGATTGGAGATTGGAGATGCGCAAAGTGAGGAGGAAGACGAGTTGATGAAGGAGATGAGGAAGTTTACCTGGAAAAAGAAGATGAGAAAGGACGCGCGCGTGTCACGAGTTAGGTGGGGCCCACACATGGACCAGCACCAGCCAGCTAAACACGTGGACGGCTAGGATACGGTGAGCCGCGTAACGTACGGTCTGGATCTGCTCACGATCGCCTATCGCATCATCCTATCCTCAGATTGCTTTTTGTTGTCTGGTGGTAGTAGTACACGGAGCGCTGGGGTTAAACTGACGTTTAAAACGGTGGTTTTTAACTTTGAGTAAAAACAAAAATAAAATTACCGAGAGATTAATTTGTTCTTGACATGAACCGTCACGTGAATGTGTGACAGCAAATCCAGCCAAAATTCACCAAAAGTTTCATCCGGGATTCGTCTCGTACTGGCACACGCCAAAATAGGTGCAAAAATCCATATCCATGAATCTTGAAAAAACAGTCAAACGAACAAGACTAGTAGTAGGAAAAAAATTAGAGAGGGAGAGATCGATCGATGGCCCGAAACCGATCGAAAAGCAAATTATAAGATGGGGAATTAAAAATCAAATTCAAATCTGAAGAAGATATTATATTTGTGAAGAAGCTATTCCACACGAATCTGATTCCAACGGAGATCAAACCTTTGCAAATTCGCCACTTGAATCGATGCATTCGATGGACGGCCGGCGTGGAAGAGAGGAAGAGATCGAGCTGAATATATAGAGGGACGCAATTCATTAACGAACCCTAGAGCTATCGTGACGCCGTTGGTTACGCACGAGATAAGGGGTTTGACTGGTTATTGGTGAGATAAATCCGTGCAAAGTATTGGTCATTAACGGTACGTAAGGTTTGATTATTACCAAAGTAATATCCACTTTAATCGCAAATATTTAACAAACATAGGAGCAAAAATTGACCAAACTAATATTATGACCAACAACAAGTTTATAATTAAAAATCACATCTAATAAAATTTTGATATTCTAATATTACCTTTTGAGGCAGATTTTCTTCCAAACTAAAAAGTTTGATCAAATCTTGGTCTTCAACTTCTAAATTTAACTTAAAATAGTTGGATTTGAAGTAGGGTTGTGAACCAGCCAAAACACAACTCCAAGTCTCTAGTTTATTTTGGGAAAGAACTTTAGCATGCTCTATTGCCTTTTAAGTAGAGTTGAAATTGTTTGGCTGGCCTACAGCTCTACGAAAGAAATTGTTTGACTGGCCTACAGCTCTACGAAAGATGGAGTTAGAGCTGATGCTATTTTATAGAAGCTCCTTTGGATAAGTTGGCGATGGGTAAACTTTTTTTTTTCGCTCATACAACATATACACATGCGTACACCATCACACACATGCACAACACGGTATACACCTTACCAGCATCTACTACCTCCGTTTTAGGTTACAGTATACACTTTAGAGGATGTATCTTCTATCTGTAGTTGTACCGTCATCATAATTGAACCATTCTGTATGAAGTTATACACGTCACTTTCAACTGTCTTTTAGTAAAGGTTCTCAACCTCACCTCTCTCATTTTACATGTGCATGCTTTCCAAACTGTTAAACGGTGTGTTTTTTTGCAAAAAAAATTCTTTAGAAAAGTTGTTTTAAAAAATCATATTAACCTTTTTTTTAAAAAAATGTTATCACTTGATTAATTATACGTTAATCCATTGCTCCGTTTTACGTGTGGAGGGGAGGGGTTTTTAACCTCTTCGAAAGAACACAGCCTGTGTGCTTTCGTGCTGGTGAGATGTATGCTTCCACTACATAACATTGCTTTCAATCAGCAATTCAACCAAAAGAGAGAGACTACGCTGTCCAACGATGGTGCTCACTTCTGTATTTGCCAGATAAAACAGCAACCCATGAAGGCTCCTGAAATCAAAAGGATGTATGTCAATAAAGTTACTTTCAGTAGTAGGCCTCCTTTAGAACAAAGATATTTTAACTAATTTCCTGAAAAAAATATTATAAAGGATTTTCGAATGAGTTAAACTAATTGCTATGAAATTTTCAATTCGTACATTTCAAAGGAGCCCGTTACATTCAGTATGTGTGATTGGCTGAGCTTGGATTTAGTACTAGAGGGTTTTTTTTGTCACTTTCGTTGTCAGTTTCTTTTTTCTAATAATAGCTAAGAAGGCAAACAAATGATTTAATTAAAAGTATTTTTAAAATTTAAGGGGTCCTTTGAAACAAAGAATGGAAAAAAAAACATGATTGAAATATCATGCCTGGTTAAATACTACATGAAATAAACCGCATGAATTGTTTGTTTGGATGTCTCACAGAAAAAAACAATTCTTTTTTAAATATTTACATATTGATTTATCAGAGCGAGAAAGAAAGAAGGTGCATTGGAATTCTCATAGCATTTGTAAACATGAGGTACCAAAATATGGAGAAAATCTGCCTATCCTTTAAAATTCATTTTAACCCAATTTCCATCATTCAAAGGCTCTCATTGTAAATATTTTCCTATATTTTTCCTACAAATTTCTTCCCATCCAAACGAGTCATAAAATCCAAAATTAGCTTCGGTCGGTACAAACACCAGAATTCAGCCAACAAAAGAAACCAAAACCCTTTTTTTTTGGGTGCAAATAATGCCGAGAACTGGCTGCGACCCAGGACCCAGGGCAAAGTGATTTGGACCCGGAAGGAGCAGGAATAATCCCTGACGACTACCTGATGAGTGATAAGACTCAACTGACGTGCTGTGCTGTTCTTTCCAAATCCCCATCGCTTTCTTCTCCTCCTTTTTTCTTCAATTCCTCTCGCTTTACTTTGCACTGTTCGATTCATTCGTCACGGCACAAGAAACCATTCTTAATCACTCGCCCTTTCTTCCTCCATCAGTCCATCTCACTTTGGTTCCTTCAAGAAACGAAGCATCAAGAAAGAGGAGAGGAGAGGAAAAGCAAGTGAGGTTTCAGACTTCAGAGGTGCTCTGGAGGAGTTTGGTCTCGATCATCATCTCTCTGAAGCCTGAGAGAGTTTCAGCTCCGATTACCACTTGACCATGGTATGCAAGCTTGCCCTCTGCAGATATGCTGATTGAGATGCTGATTCTCCTATGGCTATGTCGACTTCTTCAGATTAATTTTACTTTGTTGGTTTGGTGTCTGGTTTTCATCCGGTTTCTTGATGAGATTAGTTTCTGACCAAGTAGCTGAATTTCGTTAGCAACATATCGTTTTGTAAGCTTTGCGCATGAAACCTTGTTATCTGAATATTTTAAATAAGTTCAAGAATTGCTTATTAGAACAACGTAACCGTGATCCTAAACATGTACATACTTCAGGTTGAAAAAAAAATTAGAGTTCATTTTCAGTTTGCTCCCAGTGGTTGCTTCTCTGAAGTCAATTAGGATAAGGATAAACAGAAGCAGCAGTTACTGTGGAGAGAATCAGAGCAAGAGTCTGAACCAGCAGAAATAACCAAAAAATTTCGCTGAAAAACTCTGAACTGAAATAACCACGAGACGCATGCAGGCGAGCAAATACAGAGGCTACTACCACGACGAGGCATCGTCGGCCGCCGGCGGCGGCGGCGGCGGCGGCGGCGGCGACGGGTACAGGAGGGAGAAGCAGGTGAGGAAGAAGCGGCTGACGGCGCAGAAGAGGAAGGAGATCAAGGAGGCGTTCGACCTCTTCGACACCGATGGATCAGGTTCTGAATTTTTTTTTCCTCATGCCTCTTCTCCTCTTTGCACTGATCGATGAACTGAAACTCGGTAATTGCTCACTTGTTCTTGCTTGCTTGCTTTGCTGCATCCTTGTAGGTACCATTGATCCAAAGGAGCTCAACGTCGCCATGAGGTACATATGTTTCAATACTATTGTGGCTAAGATTGAATTGTTAACGCATGATTAATTAAATATTAAAATTTTAAAAGCTATATTTATATGATATATGTATATTTTTTTTGTTTTGATTTTTTGTTTTTTTACAAAACTCGCTCTATAGCAATTCATGAAACGTGATAACGGATAACATGGGAACTGTCCAAAGCAACTGCCGAAACAGTCCTAAATCCTAGTACTAATTATAAGCTGTGGCTACAAGCTGAGATTTTGTTCATTTTTCTGTGTGTTTTCAGAGCACTGGGGTTTGAGATGACACCAGAGGTACCAAAACCTGCCTGAGCATATATCTCTTCCTTTTCTGAATCCATTTCTCCGACGAGGGAAGCAACGAACCGATATGTTCATCAGTTGCTGGAAGCTAAGCTGACAGTAAAAAAAAAGCAGAGGATGACGACGATTGCAAATGAGAATCGTTTTCGTGTGCAAATGCAGCAAATACACCAGATGATCGCGGAGGTGGACAAGGACGGGAGCGGGACGATCGACTTCGACGAGTTCGTGCACATGATGACCGACAAGATGGGCGAGCGCGACGCCAGGGAGGAGCTCAACAAGGCCTTCAAGATCATCGACAAGGACAACAACGTCAGTGTCCTTTCCTTCTTCTTCTTCTTCTTATTGTTCTTGTTCTTGTTCTTGTTATTGTGGTCGTTGTTGTGCGTAATTTGAATCTGAATCTGAATCTGAATATGATGAACAGGGGAAGATCTCGGACGTGGACATCCAGCGGCTGGCCATCGAGACCGGCGAGCCCTTCACGCTGGACGAGGTCAGGGAGATGATCGAAGCCGCCGACGAGAACGGTCTGATTTGTTGTTTCTCCCACACCCCCAGCATTTTCTTTTCTGTAATTGGCTTGGATTTTACCAAGCGATTAACTGGGACATATTCTGTGCACATAAGATTCAGGTGCTTTCGCCACACTCACAAATTACATGTGCATCTAATTTTACAGGATAGGATTCTATTCCCTCAAGGGAACGTCCCCTAGTGTAATTTTTCCTCTCAAATTTAATGTAAATGGTTGTGAAAATTTCTTTTTTCTTTTTTGCAAATTAGAGTATACTAACATCTTTCACTACACCAAAAATTATATTCAAATTCAATCTACCCGTGGAGAAATAAATAAGACAAATCCAAAGGTGAATTTGTCTATTTCTTAATGTGTGAGTTGAGTCTTACCTTGATTTTTTTTAATTCTTTAAGTAGTTTATATGTATATGGTATGAATGGTGTCAATTTTCTTTTTCATAATTTTCTTATGACTATTTGGATAGCATTTGAACAAATGAGAAGACATTTCCTCAATACCCCTCAAGAGTTTAAAATACTTTCCTTAATTTTCGACATGTGTATATAAAGTTTTGATTTCAAATATATAGAGTATTATTAAGAGATATTTTAATAAATTTATACCCTTAAAACTGTCGCATTTCTTTTCTATTTTTTTATCACTGAAAGATAATAAATTTAAATGTGAAAATTTGCATGTAGATGGAGATGTATAAACATTATTTTTATAGTTTTTTCTGTAGCATTTGTTAGCCGGTGCATACCACCAATACGTCCCAAACTTATGTGCACCTAATACGCTCAATACGTCCTAAACAGCTAAATTGAAACTTATGTGCATGTGATATGCTGCCATAATTGATGGACTAGTTGGTGCACGAAACTTGATCGAATGAGGACGGATGGATAATAATCCGAATTTTTGGTTTTGCAGGTGATGGCGAGGTCGACCACGAGGAGTTTCTCAAGATGATGAAGAGGATAGGATTTGGGGCCGGGTTTTTTTAGCTCAGCAAGCAGCTAATTAATCACTAGTGCTTCAGTAAACACAAAATAATGTTTGGGGAGGTTTAGGCATGATGTACCGACTGGATGGCATACTATCACTATGTACATATGTAGGTTAAGTTGGTACCATACCGCCTTATGTTTTGCAACTGGTGTTTTGGTGACTGAGACGATGTACATAATTGTACAGCAGTACAGATACCAAGGTAGATCAAATAAACACGAGATTGTTATTACTCGAAGAAAACATTGGTTTGATCTGCTATATCCTACTACAATTTGATAGTAAGCTTTTTTTTTTTTCAAGGAACACCATTTCCCTTTCCTCCAGGACCGATGCTTTTCATGGCTCTCTTTTCTTAGGCGCTCGAGTGCGCCACTTGATTATGGCTTCAATTTCATCCGGTGGTATGAATGCCTATAAAAAAATGTAAATGTAAATAAACATTCATATGTACGAGGCAATTGCTTCTGTAAACATATATACACACACAACCTGTCACACTCATATTACATTACCGAAAATTTGTAGGGATCAAACCAAACAAGTTTATCTTCTATGTGTCAAATATATGTCCTTTTTTCCCCTAAAAAATATTTCCTCCTTCTTAAGAACGACAACTTCAGTTTTCCACCCGTTGGACTTAAAAGGGAGACAAACTTCAAAACTGGAATTAAAGTTTAACCCTTTTTTTTTTGAAAAAAAAGAAGAAGATCATGGGCACAAGATGAATTTAGGCCTTGTTTAGTTGGCAAAAAATTTTGAGCTGACATGTCACATCGGATATATGGACATACATTTAAAATATTAAAAGTAGACTAATAACAAAACAAATTACAGATTTCGCCTGTAATATGCGAGATGAATTTATTAAGCTTAATTAATCCGTCATTAGCAAATGTTTACTGTAGCACAACATTGTCAAATCATGGAGCAATTAGGCTTAAAAAATTCGTCTCGCAATTTACACGCAACCTGTGTAATTAATTTTTTCTATATTTAATACTCTATATATATGCCTAAACATTCGATATAACAGGGTAAAAAGTTTCTGTTTGGGAACTAAATGGGGGCCTTAATTCAGAATTTCCGATGTTCATTTGGGCTGAGAGACCCATATGGCCCATTGGGCTTTCCACGGTGGTGGAATATTCCACCATGGAGGAAAGGAATATTCCCCCACCCTCTCCCTCTCCGCCCGCTTCGGTTTTCCCTCCTCTCTCCGGCGAGCGCCGCCTTCTCACCACCGGCCGCCATGAGATCTCCGGCCGCCGCGGAGTTCTCCGACGCGCTGCCATCTCCGACCTCTCCCGCCGCGACGCCATCCCACCCCAGGTGAGCGCCCCCCCAATCTCCCCCGTCGCCCACCCTCGCGTCTCGTCTCGTCTCGTCTCGTGTTGGCTAATCAGTAATCCACCTCCTCCTCCCCCTCTTCTTCTTCCCCAGCTCCGGCCGCCACTTCTACCTCGCCGTCGACCGCCTCCAGTTCAAGATGGTACGAGGCCTCACCGCCCCTCGTCTCTCTCTCTCCGATGGTGACCATGCCATGCCCAGCTCCGACTAATGGAGGGCACACGCCGCGTGAATTGAAAATTTTAAATCTGTGGCCGTGCCTGTGTTGCAGAGGACGCTCTTGGAGCTCCTCGGCGTCGTCGCCGACCGCCGCGGCGCGCTGCCGATCGCCGTCGGCGTCTCCTCCCGCGACGAGCTCGATCTCGTCTGCGCCGACGTCGCCAGCCTCCCCTTCGTGTCATTGTCGCCGCTGGTATGTGCTGCAGATTGATCCTGTGATTTTACGAAGCCGTTTAGTGTTAATTGATTATTTTGGTAGCTGTTCAATTCAGAAAAAAAAACTGTGATATGGCACAATGTAGCTGTATATGGTATGCTCGTTTTGTGCTGCAAATTGATGTACACTTTTCTGTGATTTTACGTTAATCGCTTGTGTTGGTAGGTAGCTGTTCAATTCATCAAAAAAACTGTGGATATGGAATAATGTAGCTGCATCTACGAACTACAGAGATGCCTGAGCAATTAGACAAACTGAATTTATGTACCCAAACGAATTACAGATATGCCTGTGCAATTAGACAAACTGAATTTATGTACCCCTGATATAGCTAAATTCTCTTTATTGTGTTCATGGATTTTGCTACCTACTTCCTGTGTTGGATTTTGTTGCCAACTTCATTCCTAATGGTTTTTGTCAATACAGTACAGCGATCAGGCTGAATCAGAGCGAGCATCTGTTCTTGACAAGTTCCGGCAAGCAACAATCCAATGGAATCATACAAAAGCTGCTGCTGCTGATATTGCGGATAGTCCCAAGACTGAAAGTGCAGATTCAAAACTAACCATCGTAGTAGCAACAGATGCCTGCTTGCCCCAGGCAACACTAGGAGAGGCTCCCCTTATGGCTCGCGTGCTAATAAACTATGAGCTTCCCACGAAGAAGGTGAGCCACTCTCTTGTTTTTCAGGATGTCTGTTGAGTACGCGCTATGCAGTTTCTTTGAACTCCTCTGGTTTGATTTTTTTAATTCTAGGCTCACTAGAAGTTTCAATTGAGATTTTTCAGGAAGCTTACTTCAGACGTATGTCTACATGCTTGGCAGCAGGCACGTCAAGAAAATATCATTTTATCATCATTTGTCATATTGTTGAGTGTTACTGTTGCTGATGATCTATGTTGGTGCAGATGGAATCGTGATTAACATGGTTGTTGGTGGCGAGGTAGCCACTCTCAAGGCTCTAGAAGAAACCAGTGGTCTGCTTATTGCGGAGATGCCAATACATGTAAGATACATGCAAGAGTATCATCATTTTACTTGTTATATGACATGCTCTTGTGGCCTAAACCGAAAACATTTGCTATGGCAGGTTTCGGAGATATTATGACTGTCTCAATTGAATGGCATTCAGTAGTTATTTCCTTAGGAACTAACTACTCAAGTGATCAAAGGTTATACTTTGTGACTTCTATTTGTGAATTGCTTAGAACACAGTAGAAAACAGGACTCAGTGAAAATAAAGAGGGGACTCCTATGGTTTCTCAATGCCTTGATACTTTCAATACTGGACCATAGCAGTTTACTATAATTTTCCTATTGTAGCCTGATTTGTAATACCATGGAGTCCTCTACCAAATGCTTTCAAACACTACAGCAGGTTATTTGGTAATATGACGTACAAATGATTTTTGAAAACTTCCACTGGCCTCTCTCACAGAAAATCAAAGTACATGATACACCATTTACTGTATCTAACACGAAATTTATGTTTAAACTCTAGATAATATCTGCAACATCTTGTGCAAAAAAAAAAAATCAAAATGACAGATACATTTTCCTTTTTGTACATCACATCTCTTGGTATCAAGTGAAAGAATATAGTGTTACTATGCCTATTTGGTCTATTAGTAGAGTAGTAGGTAAATCGGATAACCTTCAACTCAGTTGTCACTAAAGTCTGGAGTTCTTATCTACACCCATCACATACTTGCTGGAAATAAACATAATCCTGAAGATCAACAAATTAAGTCTGTCAGGTTTATACAAGTTAGATATCAAGTGAAAATAAACAAAGCTCTGCAACATATCTGAAGCCAAATGCTAGTTGTGGGTTGGTAATAAGACTGAAGCAGAATGTTGAAAAGATGCTATCATGTTAGCCATCAGAATCACATTTCTGCACATGCAGACTGACATTCAGCCTGCTTCAGATGGGTGGTGATACAAACATCATGTGACCATGTACAAAGCAGACTGACATTAAGCCTGCTTTAGATGGGTGGTGATACAAACATCATGTGACCATGTACAAAGATACATTCAATAGTTTCTGCATACATTTGAATACACAGACTAAAATTGTGTCCTAAAGAGGAAAAAGATTTGACCTTAGACATTTTTTTTTTGAAGCAGTTCAAATAGAAGGACAAATACTAATGATGCAGAGCGATAATCATATGACATTGAACTGGGATAAAAGAATCTTGTAGACCACAATGACACTAACTAATTCAATGCCTCAGAGCCGCACGCGCTGTTCTACTGTATACTTCACATAGATCAGTGTCTGTAAGATGTAAAGCTCATCATCACTGGCCAATCCATGAGAGAAGGTAAAACTTCTCATCCCTAAAATGTTGCACTTGATATAACGCAGAAGAGTAAACTGAATTTTGTAGAAAACAAAGAAAGGATTGACATACTTGCTGGAAATAGGTTGAATCTGGAAAAGTCAACGAGTCCTCATTTTTATTTAAGTCAAATAAGGTAGAAAAACACACACTGCAACATAACAGATAATAGAGGTTAATAAGATCAAACAGAATGTACTTGACATCAGCGGCTGATCCACCAAGATCGAGAAGGTCAAAACCTGTACTTGACATAACACGGGAGAACACAGTTAATTAAAAGGCATTTTATTAATCAAGTTCCACTAGTTTGGTACATTTCATCATAGACTAATTTGTGTTCCCTTCAAACAGCTAACAAAATATGCCTCAGCAAAAAAAAACCTACTGAGATTTACATGCCCAGTTGTTCAAATCCTGACACAGGTCGAAACATTTCATCATAGGCACACTACATTAACATCACAACCTTTTCTTGAGCTATAAACAAAGGGAATAATAGAAGGCGAGATACGGAAGCAGAATTATGTGTGTCCAAACTGCAAATTAATTACTCGCCAGAATCAAAGAGCAAACAGTTATTGCGAGTTGTAATCAAGTGGCAGATCAGAGAGAGTTTATGATCATGTGGCCATGTACAAAGATGCATTCATAGCTTCTGCATATCTCATGAATATGACCTAAAGAGGAGAAACATTTGACCTTAGACATTTTTTGAAACAATGCAAATAGAAAGCCAAATACTAAATGATGCAGAATAAGGCAATGAACAATTCAAGGCCTCAGAGAAGCAGAATGTTACATTACATACTTCATATGATCAATATCTAGTATGACAATGGTCTTGTCATCACCGGCCAATCGACAAGATCAAGAATACTGCAGTTAAGCAGAAGGTCAGATGCTAAATGATTCAAACTGGTGATCACATTGAACTGAACCAAAAAAAAAAAAGAACGTGGAATACAAAGAAATGACTATTTCAAAGCCTCAGACCGCACAGCACACTGTTATGCTATATATCCTTCATATAATCAGTGTGATGTATAGCTTGTCATCACTGGTCGATCCACAAGATCCAGAACGCAAAACCTTTACTTGATAAAATCCAGGAGAATGCAGTGAGTTTGTAGGAAAACGAGAAGTAGGTAAATGAGGTGACCTTCAAATGTGTTAATACTAGAGCCTGGAGTTCTTATCGACACATCACATACTTGCTGGAAATAAACAGAATCCTGAAAAATCAACAAATTAAGTCTGTTAGTTTTATATAATTTAGATATCAAGTGAAAACAAAGAAAGCTCGGGAACATATCTGAAGGCAAAAGCTAATTGTGGGTTGGTAATAAGAATGAAGCAGAATGTTGGAAGTATGCAATCATGTTAGCCATCAGAATATCACATTTCTGCACATGCAGACTGACATTCAGACTGCTTCAGATGGGTGGTGATAGTTTCTGCATAGCTCATGAATATGCAGATTACTATTGTGACCTAAAGAGGAGAAACATTTCACCTTATACTCTTTTTTCTTGAAACAATGCAAATAGAAGGCCAAATGCAGACCACAATGACACTAACTAATTCAAGGCCTCAGAGCCGCTCGCACTGTTGTATTGCAACTTCATACAGATCAGTGTCAGTAAGATGTAAAGCTCATCATCACTGGCCAATCGATGAGACAAGGTAAACCCGTGAGATTTACAGTTCATCATAGCAAAACATGCCTCAGAAAAAACCTAGTGAGATTTACATGCCCAGTGGTTCAAATCCTGACACAGGTTCAACATTCATCATAGGCACAGTACACTAACATCACAAACTTTTCTGCAGCCATAACAAAAGGGAACAGAAGGCAAAATACAAAAGCAGAATCGTTCGTGTCCAAACTGAAGATCAATAATTACCAGAAACAGAGAGCTAACAATTGTCCTACTGAGTTGTAACCAAAGCGGCAGATCAAAGAAACAAAACACGAATGTTTCAGCCTTGCGTCGATTCGATTCGTATCACCATTGCAATTCAAGGGCCTCAGAACACGCACATAACATCCTATATGCATACACAATTCAATTCATACAAGTGCCTCTGTGTACCCAAAGAAACACTGTCCTGAAAACAGAGCAAAGCTTTTCTTGAAAGAAAGAAAGGGAAAAAAGAATGCCATTGGGCAATAGAGAAATCAAATCATTATGTGCCTCAACTTTCAGCTCCAATGTAGTAACGATCATAGATGCATTGCATCGCTCAGAAGTGACAAAAATTTATTATCATCGGCACAAGCACATGAGCAGTTGAGCACACAGCAGAAGCAGAAGCAGGCCAAGATACGGCTGCTTCAAGAAGCAAGAGATCCAGATAGCTAGCAGGTGCGCCATCCAAAAAGAAAAAGAACGAAGCAACAGATTAAGCTGAAGAAAGTAAAGTAGCAGTAACAGTAATAAATGAGTAACTAAGGTCGTCGGGCACGGCAGAAAAGAGACGACGAGTCACGACTTGATCAACGAGACGAAAAAGAGAATCTGACACGTGGACGGGGTGGATTGTTCCCGTCAGAAAACCCAACGGTCTCGATGGTTTCGTCGCGCGCAAGGCGCGGCGGTTGAAGGGACCGACCGACCACCTCTGCTGCTGCAGGGGAGCGTTGCAGTTGCTGCCGGGTGAAAAAAGAGGAAGGAAACTCACCAGCCGCGCGGCACATGACCGGCCGGCGCAACTCCGGCGAGCGGCGGAGAAAGAACCAAAACTCCGGCGAGCCGCGTACGGCAAGAAGGAAAAGAAGAACGACAGAGAGATCGACGTCGTCGGCCGGCAGCATCGATCTCGGCCCGGGTGAAAAATCGAGAAAAACCAATGGAACGAGGAGAAAGAAAATGAAAAAAAGAACGAAAAGGACGCGAAAATTAAACGATCTGTGCAAGCAATTCAAGCAGAAGAAAGAGGAAACGACGACCCAAGACGAAGCGATCGATCGAGATGGACCAAAGGCAGATGATCTTGCCCTCAGATAATGCATGCATATATGCGTGTGAGGTTATGGTTGTTGCATCTCATCTGCACGCCAAGACTCTCTCGCATGAACGATAACCAAACGACGAATTGAAGCAGCAAAAACAAACAAACCCAAACAAAAATTAAAAAAGAACAGCAAAGTTTAGATCCAAAGAGTCGTTGTGTGTTTCCACGAAGAACACACACAAGAACGAAAATATATATGGTGCCTGCCTCGAACAGATCCGGCCAGCACAAATCGATATACGCCATGGCAATTGATCTCTACTGGTCTCATCGCCACGCCAAGAACAGATCGATCGATTGATCGAGCAGAGGAGCAAATTAACCCAGCAAGCAAGCACCAAAACCAACACCAAAACAAAAAGAAAAGCAAAGAAAGAAACCGCAGTTCGATTCCCAACGAGAGAAGAAAGAACAAATTAATTAAAAACTCAGAGAGAGAGGCTATACTAATCGATCATCGCAGCTCGCTAAAGTGCTAATTAAACTGGTAGTAGTGCAGTCGTGGGGTGGGAGGAAGAAGAAAGAAATGCAGAGCAGTGACGACGAGGAGGAGAGGGTGTGTATAAATAGCGGCATGGACGGCTCAGATCGATCCGGGTCCTACCTCCTTTGGGAGCAGACTATCGGACGGACGGCTCCGATCGAACGATGACATCGTCACGTTGCGGCGAGAGGTGGAGACGTGTACGATTTACATACGGGCCCCGGGACTCATTTTTTTTTCTTTTTACAAAAATTTTGAAGACCAAACACCGAGGCTAATGCAATTTTACAACTGCAAGTACAAACAGTTTTACAGAGAGGCCCTTGATGGATAACCAAATTAACCATAGTCTCCTGAAATATGCAAAGAAGGATATGAAAAAGAAATAGAAAAGGCATTCGGGTATTTTGATGCTGACGGTGACGGTGACGGTGATTCAAACACCACAAGAAGTTGTAGAAGGTCGCAATGAAGCAAATCCAAACGGAGGAATTCGGATCCGGTACAGTTACACTTGTATCTGCAAGTTAATAACTGCACACTACTCTAGCCATCCGTATTTCTGATCAAGAGTTCAGATTCAAAGCTACAGTACCAACTGATGATCCATATTTCTGATCAACGGTTCAGATTCAAAACTATAGTACCAACTAATGAGGATGCTAGGTCCTGATCTTCCGATAGGTATTAATAAACAGTCGATTTGGGTGGAGTCACGACACAACTCGATCCGGCTTCTGAACGAACACGCTACTGAGCCCCGCAATCGCAGCACCACGTCTCCTCTAGTTATCAACCGTGCCGAAACCTAGTTGACCTCGCCGAGAAGGCTAATCTTTGCATGCGAATTGAAGAACATAAGCAAGAACAAGATAGATTGTAACCAAATTGCATATGAATGATTAAGCACTCGAATTTAGGGTTCCACAAACCGATCTAGCGGCGAAACTGTTCTTGACAAATTAATCTAAGCAAAACCCGACTCTAAACGATGACGGCTACTGAATCCTATATACCTATACAATTCATCCCCACTAACTGCAATTAAAACTATTTTCCTTGCTTCTCAGTGAGCCACGTCACATCTATCAGTTTCAGCCGTTCGATTCAGCCACACATCGATCTTAGACACTGATCTCATACACTCATGATCGATCAACTATTCAACCAGCCCATAATTACCGAGCTCAACAGCCACATTGGCTTCCTTTCTCCAGTATGGTCCAATAGGCTCCTGCTATCCTGTAACAGCTGGTGTATTAATCGCCAAGGAACTTAAGCAGGATGTAACGGCAAAGGTAGTGCACATTGTATGGAGTTTTAATCATTCATCTTCCATACACATCACCTATTTGGAAACAACAGTATAGGTCTGAATTTTTTTTTTTGTTTCACTTGCAGGTATTTGGGTTAAGCAATTACAGGAGTTCAACGTGTAAGTTCACTTTGGTTCGTAGTTCGTGGAGTATTTATTATGTTCCTACGAAATCACACAATTTCTGCTGCGCAGTGAAACTATTCGATGAGTTTCAGCCTATTGGTCATTTGGTCTGCATCAAGACATTCAGGTAAGGTTGTTTGTTAACATAGTAACTTCATTCAGCCTGAAAAAGTGCTAACTACATATTGGTGTGCAAGATCACTGATTTAAAATTTGGTATGATCATAAAGTTTTGCATTTGAAAGGTTCACTCTGGGAACATGATTTTCTACTCAACTAATGCAAGAGAGTTACTTCACTATCACATTCTTAACACTAACAGAAACTAGATTGAACTGTAATTCTTTAAGTTGTTCCACTGCAACGATAAGTAATCAAGGCACGAGATGTGATGAGTTTGTTACTTTCGAGAATAATTTGTTAATTTTATTTCAGCATCTGTTTATTTAAAGCGAAGCATGTAATTTGGACAATATTGCTGACTGGCAATAACAATAATAAACCTTTTCATTATGTAGCCTTTCCTTTCTTTCATTTGAAATTTGGACAACAAGCAATTTCAACCAAAAACAATGCATATTCAATCATATTTTTTTAGCAATGCTACAATATTATGTGAACACATTAGATAATTGCACTTGCATTATATGTGGGCAAAATACCTTTTGTATTTTCCGCATTGCACTTACAATAATCATTGAGTCCCGCAGCAACGTGCGGGGTATTATCTAGTAAATATGATTAGGGACGCCCTAGGGTTGCCCTAGGGCGCACACCCCTTTGGGCTAAGCCCACGACACAATTATAAGGTCCAAAACCCAAATCAGATTCGGACTGGATGAGATACGTGGCTTGTTTTGCAGATTCCCGGCAGCTCGGTAGGACTTCTGAAGTGGGAACAAAACCATCTGAAAGTAGACTCCATAAGCTTTCCAACAAGTACTCATAGGCCCCCAAATTCCTTCAAGATCAGCGGCTAGGTCCATTTAAATTTGATGCTGTCAGGAGGCCCGAATCCGAATCCAAAACGTGTAAAACTTGATCTCTTGTCTTCTATGGAACAAAAGTGACGTGGTGAGGGGGGTTGCTAGTGGGCGGGTGATCGCTTCTCTGTCCTCCTAGCGATCACCCGTCCCTCCCCTCCTAATACTCCTCTTTCATCTCTCTTTTTTACTTTTCTATTACATCATAAATTTTAAAAAAAATAGTAAAAGAAATTAGGAAAAAAATATAATACTCTCATTCATGTGCATAGACTTTGTACCGTAAACTTTGCACGCATAAACTTTGTGTATAGAAATATTTTATATATAAAATATTTGAATCCGAATTCGAATTTGAATCGGGTATATAAACTTTTGACTTATAAACATTCGCTCTACAAACTTTAGGTAGATAAACTTTAGATGTGTAAACTTTAGGTGTATAAACTTACTAAAAGAGGAAAATATAAAATATTTGAATCGGGTATATAAACTTTTGACTTATAAACATTCTCTTTACAAAGTTTAGGTGGATTAACTTTAGATGTGTAAACTTTAGATGTATAAACTTACTAAAAGAGGAAAAGAAAAAAAAGAAAAAAAACGATCGCTGCCAGCGATCGATCGCTCATTAGCCTTTCCGCGTGGTGAGATGGAAGAGGATTTGGAGAAGGTCTTGGTTTAGTCCCCAATCAACTTATTTAATCATCCATGCATTCCTTACGCTCGGTCTCTTTTCTTTCGCCCAAGCAAGTACCTCTACAAACAAAAACACACCAAACTCATTGTGTAGCAACATTTGTTCAAATATATAACAAGTAAATCTAATATAGAACATATGCACCTTTGGTTGATCAATACATAAGGTAGTCATGGTTATATCCGAGCTAGTTGTGTCCTCATCATCCTCCCCTTCTTGATTGGAAACTGTCCTCGGTTTCACCTTGTCATGGAGCGTATTGAACTTATCTTTATCTATCACAACATCCGGTAAAGAACATTTCTTGATGTCCATATGGTTGGATCCTAAAATCTTTGTAGTAAAAAAACCGCAACTCTCACATTCTTGCAAACCAACATGTAACTCATTTAAACAACTAGAGGAAATAGATAAAGAATTACTTATATGCATGCGGTCCTCTAGACAATACATTTCATCATGAAAATGAGGTATAGTCAAATTCAAACAAATATATACTCGATACATATTATATTCTCCTTTACTATCATAATTGCCAATAACATAAAAAATCACATCAGAAGGACATGGCAATTCAAATCTAGCAAATAATTTCTTCTCTAAACAATTGAGTGGACAAAGATCATTAAATTGAATATATCCCCAAGTATTTAAAGAAGATAGCAATTTAAGCTCTTCATTCTCGCTAGAATATGAATAACATGTTTAAATTCAACACATGGTGGCTCTACTATAGAACTAACATGCTCATTCACTAGTTATGGCATAGATATAAGTGAAGCATCGCATAACTATTCTTTATCAAAAAAATCAAGCAAATTGTTTTGTGACAAAGGTATTTCAACAATTGTTTCCACCATGGGTTTCTCTAACGTAGCATAAGTAGTGGATATAGTTGGCACATCATAACTATGCATACCTTGAGTAGTTGTAGCACCATTATCATTACCTTCTTTCTCATCTTCAGAAATTATAGGCGCTTGGTCAATTAAACATTCCTCAAGCATGCATATAGCTATGGATAGGTCTTTCTCTCCATTTTTCCTCTCTTCCTCCTCATCATCTTCAACGTCGAAGATGCTGATGTAGCCATCTTCCATAGCAATGTATGCCCGTTGACTAGGGCAATCCTTCTGCACATGGCCAAATCCATGGCAGCGGTGGCACTGAATGCTGGGCGTGCATCCCGTCAAAGCGACGGACGAGGCACTCTTGGTGGGTACTTGCGAAGAACCTTTACCTGAATCTAAAAGTCGTGGGGGGAGGTGGTTTTGGCGCTGCAGAAACTCCGGACGCAACTGGTCGCTTGCTTGCTGGTGGGGGTGTCCGGAAAGAGATGGGCTTGGGCAGCCCCAAAGATGGCTTCGCCCGCGGCATGTACGTGCTCGCCTTGTTCTTGACTTTGTTGATCACGCCCTAGCAATTTCTTCTCTACAAGCATAGCAAATTGAAACAACTAGTTGACAATGTTAAAATCCTTATACTCAACTATGTCCTGAATTTTGCGCCTCAATCCCAAGTAAAAACGACAAATAAAATCCTCAGTTCCCTCCACTATGCTACATCGCATCAATCCCTTTTGTAGCTGACCATAGTAATCCTATACAGATTTATCCCTTTGTTCTAAACACATCAGTTTCTTGCTTAATTCTCTATGATAAGATGGTGAGACCAATCTATCGCGCATAGCTAACTTAAGTTCTTCCCAATTAGTAGGTAAAGCTCTCCCTACAGCTAACCCAGTCCACCAAATAAAAGCAAAATCTTTAAACTCACTAGTAGTTTGTCGAATTCTATGTTGCTCAGGCACAAGGTAGACACTAAACTTTTGCTCTACTGTCATCTCCCAATCAAAGTATTTCTCAGCATCATAATAATCCAAAAATGATGGTATTTTAAACTTAACCTTAGAATAAGAATCATCGGGCACACGATTATTGTTACCTTGTTGGTGTTGCTGATTTTGAGTGCCACTCATACCTGTCATTGCAAACACAAAAACAACAACAAACAGTGAAGGTTATCCCTAATAATCTGCTACACAGTGTAGCGGTGCCTCTCAACAACTCAGCCAAATGGAGCAGCTTACTAAGAATAAGTGTCTTACCAGCAATGCTAAGGACGGTACAACTGGTGGCTGGTTCGTGACACCTTGAAGAACTTGATGTAGCGATTGCAAGGATCAAAGTGGTGCTGACCAGAAGTATATATGTGGAGCTTGGGAGGCACAATATATAGTAGCAAAAGAACGCAATTGTGTTAATCAGAAAATTCAAAGTTGAATAATAGTTCAAAGTACTAGTCAATGTGCTGGCCTAACCTAGACTCAACTCTAGCTCAAGCAAGCACCCGACAACATTAAGGACTATATATGAATCAATGCACAACTCTGCACTCTCAAACCATACTCAAAAGATGATTGATTTTTTTTCTTTCTGGTGCGGCTTTTTTTAAGCACCTTTCTGCATTTTTTTAATTTTTTTAGGTGCGGCTTTTTTTTTTCTTTGCACCTTTCAACCTTTTCTTTTTTCTTTTTACTTTTTTCAGCAGGAACCAATCAATGACCTCAACCAGGGACTCAAATGTAAATATAAATATTGTAGGGACTCAAATGCAAAGTGCAAAACTAAAATTGGACCAGCTCAAAAATGGAATGCTCACATCATGCATGTAGGTTCCTTTTTTTTTAAAAAAAAACTCAAATCTACAACCACCAAAATACCTAACAATGTGGTGATCGAGGAGGAGGCATGGAAGAAACCCGTGAGGTGGAGGTGGGGGTCGGCCGTGACAAGGACGAGTTGGATTCAGACTACTGTGGAAGATTGGAAAATATGTGGAGATTTTCTTCCGTTTGACGACACAGATCAGATAAACCCCCTATAGAAAACAAACCGATATGCCAATCTGTTTCTCTCCTCAACGTGTGCACAAAAAGCACGAACACAGAACCGACATGGCAACACAGAAACCGCTCAAAGAAAACTCCTCCAAACCACAAAAACGGAAACCTGATGATTAGTAGATTCGATTTTTCAAGGTCCCAGCAACAACCGATGAGATGCAAAACTGGACCCAAATTGACGGACATGACTAACCCAAAGTGATGAACAAATGCAATACTCACAACTAAAAATTAAATCTGAAACTAAACCAGCACTCGACACGACGATGCAATCTAAAATTCAACGACGCAAAAATTAATAGAACAATGCAACGGCTCAAATTGGCTAGGTAATGGATGCAATATTTTTGTGTGGCAATTTTCTTGTTATGGGTAGATAAATTACCTAACGGGCAACCGCGCTATGATACTAACTGATGAGGGATGTTAGGTCCCGATCTTCCGATATGTATTGATAAACAGTCGATTTGGGCGGAGTCGCGACACAATTCGATCCGGCTTCTGAACGAACACGCTACTGAACCCCGCAATCGCAGCACCACGTCTCCTCTGGTTATCAACAGTGCCGAAACCTGGTTGCCCTCGCCGAGAAGGCTAATCCCTGCATGCGAATCGAAGAACACAAGCAAGAACAAGATAGATTGCAACCAAATTGCATATGAATGATTAAGCACTCAAATTTGGTGTTCCACAAACCGATCTGGCGGTGAAACGGTTCTTGACAGATTAATCTAAGCAAAACCCGACTCTCAACGATGACGGCTACTGAATAAATATGATTAGGGACGTTCTAGGGTTGCCCTAGGGTGCATACCCTCTTGGGCTAACCCCGCGACACAATTACAAGACCCAAAACTCAAATCAAATTCGGACTGGATGAGATACGTGACTTATTTTGCAGATTCCCGACAGCTCGATAAAAATTTTGACGTGGGTCCAAAACCATTTGAAAGTAGACTCCATAAGCTTTCCAACAAGTACTCATAGGCCCCGAAATTCCTTCTAGATTAGCAGCTCGGTCCGTTTGAAGTTGATGCTGTCTAGAGGCCCGAATCCGAATCCAAAATGTGTAAAACTTGATCTCTTATCTTCTATGGATCAAAAGTGACGTGGTGAAATGGAAGTGGACTTGGAGAAGGTCTTGGTTTGGTCCCCAATCAACTTCTTTAATCATCCATGCATTCTTTACGCTTCTCTTTTCTTTCGCACAATCAAAGTACGTCTACAAACGAAAACACGTCAAACTCATTGTGTAACAACGTTAGTTCAAATATATAACAAGTAAATCTAATATAGAACATATGCATCTTTGGTTGATCAATACATAAGGTAGTCATGGTTATATCCGAACTAGTTGGGTCCTCATCAATTTTCCACGTATATTAAGTGACCCACTAGTCCATCTTTAAAACCATGTCGAAGAAAACCCTGACCAATATATATATATTCAATTAATGTTTTAAGCTAAGCTGCCTAAGCATGGTGATCAAAGTCTTAAAACTCAATCGTCAATAGTCTTCGAGTGTCGGTGAGAAGAGAGACTGATCAAGCAGGGGAATAGACACTGTGGTGTACATGTGCTCCTCTGCCTCCGCCTCCTCCTCCCGCAAGGACGCCGCCGTTGTCGGCCTCGGCAGGCGCAGCGTCCTCGCCGCGTCGTTCCGGAGGTTCGCCTACTTCATCGACGGCGATCTCAGGAGCTTCGCATGGCTCGGCGACGACGACGCGGTTGCGGCGCCAGCGCGAGCACCAGCACCCCGCTCATCCCCGTCGGCGTCGACAAGGCGCCGAACATTGACCCCAACCTCTACTTCGTCGCCATCACCGGCATCAAGGTCGCCAGCGGCGAGATCGTCAGCGACAAGGCCGCCGCGATCATGACCACCGTTTCCACCCTTTACACGTTCCTCAACCCGGTGCTCTTCGACCACCTCAAGAAGCAGCTGCCGCCGCTAGCAGACAAGGGCTCATCCGTACTGTGCTACACGAAGGACACCGAGCTCCCGGCGATCACGCTGGTGTTCGCCGGCAAGGACGCCGCCATGAAGCTGGCGCCGGAGCACTACTCGTACAAGAGGAGCGATGGCGCCGTGTGCCTCTCCATCCTGCGCTCGCCGCTGCACGGCGGGGTGTTCGTCATCGGCAGAAGGGGCGGGCCCAGGATTTTCAACTTGGGTATTCGAAATTAGAAGAGGAAGAAAAAAATTTTCAACCCAAAGTTTGTATAATATATAACGGTATGAACATGATTTCATAAAGTCATAGATGCAGGGATAGAATTGATCATAAATTGAATGTGTTAAGCATATTAGAGTATAATACTAAACTATTAATAGACAAAACATATCAAATTTGTGAAATTCTCATCCTTACATCACTAATATAGTAGTTGATACTATATACTATATTAACCATAAATCATTCCTATATTCAAATTTTAAATAAAAAATGTTCAACCATGAACAATCCATGCTAGATTCAGACATTCAGTCATTCAAGTATGAATTAAATCATAAATTCCTAATCCAAAGTTCCTACTTCGTACCAATTAGCCATGAAGTGATGAAGGGAACTAGCCAACTAGGGAAGAGTTAGTGAGTCATTGTCTCAGTGAGGTATCGACTTCGTCACCTCGTCGTCGACGGCAGCGGCAGGTCGGTGGCCGGTGGCGGCGACGCGGCGCGGGGCCCTGCGCCCCTGCGACTGCGGGCTAGCAGGCTGCCGTGGTCGGTGCCTCGGTGGAGCGTAGGCAGGCAGGCAGGCGCCAGGCGGCAACTCGTCACCGCGGCGCCGCACCGGCGGGCGGCGGCGGCTGGAGCATGGAGGCGGGCGCCGCGGGGGGATGCCGGATGCGCCGAGCGCCCGAGCCGCCAAGGCGCCGACGGCGCCGTGCGCGCCTGCGCCGCGGCCGAAGGGTAGACTGCTGGAGGCTGGAGGGCGGAGGCAGCCGGCGCGTCGTCTCCTCGGGCGGGCCGGCAGCGGAGCGCAGACTAGCGAGTGGCGGCGCGCCGGCGCGTCATGTCCTCCGGGCAGTTGGATGGTGGTGAGGTGGAGAGATAGGGTTAGATGTTTGGGCTTTTTTTTATTGGCCAATGGGCCTGAAATAGTGGGGAGATAGATGGTGGGAGGGATAGAAATCGTTTTTAGTTGGGCTCCTTTTGAATAGGTAGGCCTTTTTTCCTTTTTTTCATACTAGTAGGGTGCCCGTGCGTTGCTACGGGGAATTTTGTTGATCACGGGGATAAGATCTGGCATTGAAAAGACAAATATGGCATCGTAATGAAACAATCTCATGGCGTTTACTACATAAATTATAAAAAGTAACATAGATAGAAGACATCTATGAAAATTTGATGATATCATACAAATAAAGCACAAACAAAAAATATAGAACATCCAGCATTTGTAGATACGGCATTTCTAATGGATGATTACCTCAAATTAAATCACTCCATATTATAGTTAAACCCTAATGTTGTTCCATATAGTTAAATAACTACCCTAGTGTTGTGAATTCTTTATACACTTTAGAAAATCTTGTACGCCGTTAGGGATGTTGCTTTCACACTCATTTTGTTGGTACATCAGTAGATTTAGCAAAAAAAGTTTCCTTAGCTCGTCACCATCCTGCACATGTATTTAATAAGTTAAATTTTGGTAAATATATAATAATGTAATATATGAATAATTAATGCCTGTCAAGACTTACATTAATTGCCGGCAAATGTGGTTCTTTATTATTCCATGTACACATGAAGAGATGAACAAGAAAACCCGATAAACTCCTAAGGAAATTGAAGAGTTAGCTTCCCTTTCTCTACACAGTTAAATTTGTTGGTTTGAACGAGTTTTTAAGAAGATAACTTACCTGCTGTAAACCGGATTATTGACAATTACTTGCCTCCACAAGTTGATGTCTTCATTCCACCTAGAGCCAGGGCATGCCTTTCTCATAGCTTTGTTGAAGTGATCACAAATAGTTATCAGTTTTCTGGTGTATCTCATATTTGGGTTATTTTTATATTCTGGCATAAGTGGATTTGGGTCTAACACATAGAGCGTTTGACTTTCTTGGTCCACTACAAGCACGATAAAACTTCGAGCATGGCGTACTGGTATAAGAATCTACAAAAGATCATCCGTCAAGATAATATATAAAACACGGCCATATAGGATGGTATCTTAGCGATCTTACCGCTTTGCACTGTGAAAGTTTGTAATGAATTTCCGACCAACTACCGACGGTCTCTGCAAGATTTATGTTGTCATGGTGGACCGGGACTTTACCAAAGCCAGTAGCACTCTACATGATTTAAAAAATGGTTCAATTACATAAGCAATAGATAAATCAATATATTCGATATTGCGATTATAGGTAATAACATGAGCAATAGAGAATGACATGAGCATTAGAATTTAAAAACTTACCCAAAATTGCAAGTCCAAGCAATGATTCGATATTGCTTGTTTAGTTTTATGAATCATCTCGATTTTTTCATACATGAACTTACGAATAGCCATGTTGAAGCAATCACTTTCCAATGGCTCATCCTTCTTTAGTATTGTTTGAAGCTGTTTGAGACTCAAGCTAATATAGTGCGGCCTTGAACTTTGTACCCATATTTTCCTGTCAATCAAAGAAAATAAGTTAATGCATATATGAATTACGATTGTGTATACAATGCATTGCAGTGGCTTACTCCATGGCTTCAGCACAATTAATCTGTTGGATGTAGTGCAGAAGGCCGCTTATCAACTCTTGTTTACTCATCTTAGATACTACAGAGAGTAGTGAACTATATTTTTTGTTTACTTCTTTAGTTTTATTGATGTCCCTTGTAGAGCCGAATTTCCGTTGATGACTACCTAATATAACAACATCGTCATCACTATCTTTGGTATCTTCGATTTGTTCCCCGGTCGTCATGACCGCCTTATTTGTTTTCCAACGTAATAATACACTGGCTAGTTTGGACCTAAAAAGTGTAATATCCTCCTGCGCATTAAAAAGTAAATTTATTTAATTTTAAATAGATAAGATATTTGATCAACTATTTTTTTATTAAGAAACACACCTGTGTAATAGAACGAGAAAGTGATTCTCCTGTCCAATTCTCCATAAGTTTGAGCATGAATAGTCCACATGAAGAACTGCATTGTTTTAAAGTATAAGTACAACTATTAAAAACTAAACAACCGTACACCATTTGAAATATATCATTCATCTTATATTAATATTATATTACATGAAAAATTTATTTGTAGTATACCTGTCTTCCTGAATTCTTTCTTTTAGTTGTTCTATTATTGGCCACTTGATAACATTGAGGTCACCCCATTTGTGGCTAGGCAAGTCCTGTTGCCGTCCAATAATATTAAGATGATATTGTAGTCTTTGTAGCTGCTCAATTATCATATTTACAGTCAGCAATATACATAAATGAATTACAATCTTAAAAAAAAAAGAGAGTTCACATGTCATATACACTAACCGTATTTGCGAGGTCAGCACGATTGAATGTCATACACATGGAATCAAGTACTTGTATCTGTTTTTTTTCTATGTTGACAACCGCTAAATACCAATGATTATCTTTCATATTTATTGGAATAAAAATCTAAACAAGACATATGGAGTTAGGACATATATTATATTATATTATATCTATATATATAAATAAATAATAAACTTAAATACTATCAAATATAGAGAGCCAAACAATACCAGTTCATGGTGTAGGTAATTCTTCACTATCTTTGTAATAAAGTTATCTTCATCTTCATTTACTCCATTGACCCCAGCCGCTTTCAGCATGTCAGAAAGAAACGGGTTTTCATATTTCACTTTCTTATCGTTATTTGCTTGCTCACTCAAACAGTGTATGTACGCACTGATGACCTGTTGATTCAATTAAAAATCTGCAATTACTAAAGAATATGTTGGCAATTAAATTGTAACGTTGCTTCATCATAGGCAGTTTTACTTACATCATCGTTCAAAAATTTATCTCCAGAGAGAAGGCACGTTAAGTGACGTTTCTTGTTATAAAAATGACCCATGTCCACCAGTGTACAATTTTCAGCCGAATCTTCAATTAAAAATATGGCCATTACATCCTCATTTGTTAATTCATAATCTGTAAAACAAAAAAAAATGAATTCTGATATCACAAAGTTTTATATATAAAGCACAACCACTCTTAAACCAAAGACCAAGAGATAATTATGCATGCACCCAATAAAATTAGAGGTCTTAGTGGAGAGTTAAAATAATAATATTTTAGTGGAGAAGAGGTGTTAGTTAATGACATGCATGCATATATGCCTTATATTATGAAACAACTTGAAAAAGTAATTTTGCCGTACATTGTGGAATGAAGGGAGTATGTGAAAACAATAATGTACCTTGAGGGAGATACTTGTAGGTCTGGCCAAACATAGATCGTATCAAATTTGATGGTACATCAATATTTGGCATGCTGACTTTGGATACTCCATGCTCCTCGGATTCCGAATTTTTTGCTTTCTTCGAGGGTGGGGTTGTAATCATATCAGCATGAATGGCGTCTTGATTGACCTGAGTACCACATGAGATTAAGCAAGGATATCTATATTGCATATGGAAATTATATATAACACTAAACAAAAAACACGTCGGCAGGGATGTCAATATTATTGTTGCATAAGTTGGTGCAATGCTTTATTTTGCTCGATCATAGCTATTAATCTTTTTTTCTTGGTGAACCATACCACTCAGAGTATTATATATTATTTGTAAAATAAGCTGAGGGCCAGGTTGATTTTATGTTGAGTTATGTTGTTAGAGTTATTTTATAAAACCATAAAAATCTATTTGTTCTAATTGAAAACTATTTAATTAATCATACGTTAATGAGTCCCTCGGTTTTGCGAGTGCGAGAGATGAGTTCCTCATATAAGTAAAGAAGCAACCCTGAGCACTACGCACAAGCTAGTGTAGGAGTATATATTAATGCAATTGACATATTTGTAAGTAATAATTTTTTAATATAATAGTGGATGGCGAGCTAGGTGCTTTAATTAATAATCAAGTAACGTACAGTGTATAGCATTAATCTACAGTACCATGCATTAACATTAGCTAGCTAATGTACTGCCTGCTATAAGTAACCCAAATCGCAATAGAACACACACACACACATATATATATATATATATATATATATGTATCGATAGTCTTCATGGACTAATTAAGCTGGGTGCTTAACTTACAGGATCAATATCTGTGCTGACATTGCTTGGCGCCGAAGATGACGGCAAGGGCGGCGGAGGAGGAGCCGGCGACGGCAATGGCGGCGGCGGCGACGGCGGCAGCGGCGGCGACGGCGGCGGAGCCGGCGACGACGGGACTGGCGGCGGCGGCGGCGTCGTCAACAACAGTAGTGGCGGAGGAGTCTGCGGATGTGGCGGAGTCGACGAGGGCGGATTTGACGGCGATGCATCCATCGTGTGGTGGTCGCGTAGTCTGGTTTCGGTGGATTTTGCGACGGCGGCGGCGCTTGTTTACCAGCCTTGGTATTCGGCGAGTTGTGCGGCGGCGATACGACGAGCAGATCAAACTGAATATCACGGCAACACTTAGCAAGGAAACAGGGCACCAGCTTATCTTATATAGGGCTTAATCTTTATGAGTTGATGGGCCTAATCAAGTCGAAAGTGATTCTTGACTGACTAATATTATATAGGCCTTAATCTGGATGAGTTGATGGGCCTTATCACGTGTCCTGGGTACGCAGGAGTCGAGGCAGTTTCACGCTTCTTCCTTCCTTCGATTATTTTGTCCATCAATCTTCGGGAAACTGAATAAATCCGATATCATGGGTACGATTAAAATTAGAAGGAAAAAAATTGAGAGAACAAAATTGTTGGACCGTGCACGTAAGTATATCTCGTTAAAAAAAATAAAGGGAATGTATCACGATTAAATTTTTTGGTCGAAACGGTCTGAACAAACCGGATGCAATTAATTAGGACGTAAAATATTTTTTCATAATATTATAGTTCTGGTTTAATTTGTGTATGAAAATAACACGTGCATTGCAAGGGGGAACATATGCATCATCGGAAAACCATGTGTTTTTTTATCTGGTTCGAACATACCGGACCAAATCCGGACATAACAAATCATCATAATCGAAATAATAGGACATTTTAATTTATGTTTCTACGACCCAAAAAACAACGTTAATAGACCAGAGCATCCCTACAAATGTTAAACATATAACGAAAATCATGAATCTAAAAGCAATCTCTTAAGCTTTTTTAAAACGGGCGATAGTATCCTCTTGTTGTATCAAAGGCACATCTCGTCTGATGATTCCTTGAGGATCCAATCGGTCTAAAAGGGAAGCAATAGTAATAAATTTCGCTCTCAAGGAAACGACTGCTTGAGTGAACCGTTGAGCATCCTCACGAGAACTAACGAATAAACGACGAATCACGCCCAACTCAGGTGCACTGAGTGAATCTGTAGAGTTGGTCAATTCGGAGTCCACCGTAGTAGTTAATGTCTCTGCACGATAAGCAAGTCAGTCTGACAGTGTTCAGTTCTATTACCTCGCAAACAAAATGGTCAAATAGTAATTCCTATTAGGATGATTTGTTACTTACCGGTTAGAATATCTAATTTCTTGAGACATGTAGCAGACATGCAGTAATACTATGATGCAAGTGCTTGCCACCACACTGTATGTCGAGATGCATATTCACCCCAAATTCGAAGAAAGATTACCTTATATCTGTAGTACTAAAAGTGGATTAGGGACCACTCACAATATGAGAACATGTTATGTAAAGGAAAAACTGAAAATGAACTCACCGACGATTAACCAAGGCAATATCCCTAGTAGGTAAGCTTTGTCCATAAAGTTGGTGATGATGTATTTCTCCCACGTATATAAGCACACCAACAACATCTGAACGAATATTTATGTAATGAACATAACTATAGAGTTCAAAAAAAGGGATGAAAATAGTTATTGAAGGTTGTTGCTTTACCTATGAACATATCATCACTTATCGCGTCGGTAAAAATAGCACTGAAGTCTACAAAACGAGGCTTGCGTAGGGCTGTCTTTGGTGTCAGAATCATACAAAACTTAGCTTGCATGGTTAGGTTGGCATAGGTAGGCACATCGGTCGGTTGGAACCCCACATTAGTAAAATTATAGACTAAGCCACTCTGTATGGTTCCATTAAAACGATCTGCTTGCTGGTCATACGCTAGTGCTTCCATCCTTGTATCCTACGTTTAAATTGTACATATAGAATAAAGGCATAATTTCCATAACTTTTGTGCACAACGCTCCATTATATCTAGCAATTAGGAGGAGAGAGGTGATTGGTGTGACATACCGTTGTGTCCTTTAGGATAAACCGAATATATTGAGCACCAAATTTGTTTTGCTGCATGGGAGATTTGAACACCACCTTCGCACTCACCTTCCAGCATGTTCGGAAGACGTGTTCCATCTTAATCTCATCGAACTCTACTGACCTGCAGCCATGCATAAAGTAACGGTAAACATACAAAAGGAGGTACGTACCCTCAACTTACGAAAATTTGATATAAAAATTTTTGCACAAAATGACAAATAAAAGAAGAATAACAAACATGTGAAATATCCTTTCCTGTTAAATGGTTTTTTGATTGTTACAGGTTGAGATGCATCAGGCGACTGTTCTGACGCGGGGGCATGAACCCGGTTGGAGATGTGTGTGCGATAATTTGCCGACATCATGTTGTTGTAATTGACACTCTATTGGAAGTGAATCATTGAAGTTGCCAAAAAAAATTGTAATATTAGACAAACAGATAACATGGAAATTCAATTTGCAACAAACGAGAGTATACCACAAGAACGTGGTGGTGTTGCTCTCACCTCTTATTTCACATATAGTGCAGTAGAAAGGCACCTCTTCAAAATTCAGTTGCAGTTGAAGATCGATTTGAAGTGTTGCACTTGCGGCGGCAGCGTCGTCGCGGTCGCGGCAGCCGACCGCCGATGAAAGGCGCTTGGATGCGGCGGCGATTGGAATGCAGTGGATGGGATGCCTGGGTGGGAACCGACGGGATAAACGGAAGGTCGGTGCTACACGCGCGGCGGCAATCTCGCGGCGACAAAACGGAAGCAGCTCGTCATGTTTCATTGCACCGTGATATGGGCCGATCAGGCCCATAGCTTGTATACATCCTTTCTCAGTTATTAATAGGACGAGTGCATAGTAGCATGCAAAAAAATCAAAGCACTTAGCTTTTGAAGTACCAGAAGCAAGCAACGAGCGAACGATTTAGATATAAAACAATTTTTCGGATGACGTGACGACGGCCGAGTGCGTGCGGCGGCGCGACGACGGCGACGAGTTGTGGCGGCGGCCGGGTGCGTGTGGCTGCCGCGGCTGGTCACGGCGGCGGCGGCCGGAGGCGTGCTGCTGTGCGACGACGACGACGACGAGTTGCGGTCGCCGGTTGCGTACGGGGCGGAAGGCGGGCAGCGATTTTCGTGTTTTAATTTTTTTTTCTGAGCGTGCTGTATGATTTGGCCGCACGGGGTAATCGATTATGCAGTGTGGCGGCGGTCGGGTGTGTGCGGCGGCCGCGGCTGGTCATGGCGGCGTCGGCCGGATGCGTGATGCGGTGCGACGACGGCGACGACGAGTTGCGGTGGCCGGATGCGTGCTGGCCGGCGGGCAGGCAGTGATTTTTGCGTTTTAATTTGTTTCCATGCGGACGGTATGATTTGGCCGCACGGGTTAATCGATTATACAATGTGGTTGGGCCGCCCGCACGTGAAAATATATAGTTTTCCAGACACTCAGGTACATACGGTCAAATCCTCCGCTCGGAAAAATCATCTTGATCGCACGTAAAAAATGCTTTTCATAGAGATTCATGGACATCATTTTATATGAGTGGCATACAACTTTTGTATCATATTGAGATTATAAAATTGTGATGCTTATTCTGAGTAAGCAACAAAGCTGATGACACTATAAAAACTTGGAAGCGAAAAATCATTATATGTATGCGAAATAAATGCAACTATAGTTGCCTTCATTTAAATCTTCTAGTTTTGGCGTTGATAATTATGAAGGTTTCTTCTACCGATAGACTCTTCAACCTGCTCTTGAACATTAGAAGGTGATACTGCTAATGCCTGGCGCAAAACATTGAATTCATTTGCTGATGCTGAATCAGGATTAAAAATTATGTCAGACTCATAAGTAGTTGATAGTTCATCTACAAAAGGAAAATGTCAGTTAGTTTAAAATATGTGATTTATCACGGTGGCAAATATGTTAGAGAAATAGAGGGGGGCTTCCTTACCTGCTCTTCTGTCCACCCTCGTCAGCGTAGCCACAAAACAATCGAAATGTGTCCGTGCTGAGCGCCACCTAGTCAAGTTGCGGGTAAGTTGTTGGTCCCATACACGAACGAAAATTATCTGCAACCTGATTTACAAAAATTATATGCAACATGAGTGTTGTGTGATCTCAATTAATTAATACATGTAAAAAAATGGAGCATGTCGTACCTAGGATTAACCAGCGCGATTATCCTTGTCGGCGTCTGACGCAAATACAAACTCCTGAACTCAATGTCCCCGACATGCACAACTAATCCAATGACATCTGCACAACTCATAGACACATTAGTTTTTCATTTGCTAGCAACTAAACAAAGATTGGTATTTTTGTCAGTACCGAATCAAACAATATATCTACTAAAGAATTGTGCCTTGCCAAAAAATATCATCATATTCTGGAAAACGCCATGGACAACGTAGCATGTGGACAGGACCATGAGGCGTGCGGGTAGTTGTTACATTATTGAGAATCATGCAGAACTGAGATCTTATCTTAAATCTTAGATGCACGATCATTTCTGTCGGATCAAACCCGACGTTATAGAAATCATAAACAGATCCACATCTTAAAAGCTGGTTGAAATGCTCAGCTTGACGACGGTAAACAATTGCCTCCATCTTAGTGCCCTACACATGTTATGAGATGTAAGACTATAAGACACTAAAAAAATTATTGTCGTTAAAATCAATCAATCAATAAATATAAAGATTTTAGCTTCGGCGTGATTTGATTGGCTGAGGTGCACTGAGAGGCTTGCTACATACAGTGAGTCACAGTGGAAATAAACTACATATTAGATCTAAAATTCTGAAAAAGAAGATTGAAAAATCATTTTGACTTACCAATTCATCAATTAGTATTAGTCGAATTTGTAGATCGCCGTAATAATTCTCTTGCAGATGTCCTTTCTTGATGACCCTCGCACGGACAATCCACCATTTCCAGTGTATGTGATCCATTTGTATATCGTGGAACCGAACAATTCTGCATGGGGAAGATAATATACACGATATGATAGCATTGCACAATCCATCAACAGAAGAAATAATAGAATGAAGAAAGAGTGACCTCCATGGTTGCACGACTACGGCATTCTCCATATTGCGTGGTAATTAGCCGTTCGGAAGAGACGTCCGGAAGAATGGGTGGAAATGGTGGCGGCTGGCAACCAGAGCTGCTGGAAATGGTGGCGGCTGGCAACAAGAGCTGCTGGCGCCATTTATGTGATGATTGTTAACTAATCACGATTAGCGTTATCTTGCCGTGGCGTCAAAATCGAATCAAATACCAAAAAAATCGCCGGCTGGCTGTTGGCTGGTTCTGGCACGTCAAAATACCCACAAACACCCAAACAAATCGTTGGCTGTTGGTTGGTTGTGGCAGTGGCATTGGACTCTAACAGTCAGGTCATATGGGTCGATTAGGCCCATAAGGCCCATAGTTTGTTTCCTTTATCAATTAATTCAACATTGAGTCACAATCGCTGGCTGTTGGCTGGTTGTGGCATTGGAGTTGAATTTGTTGTATTTTGTCGTAGTTCATTTTACAGTATGCCCTTTTTAATCGGTAAAGACACGCATATAAAAAGTTTTTTTTTCAGTTGCTAATCCACGAGAAAGATTAAAGATTAATATAAAATATCACCACATTCTTCGTGAACCATCTAATTCCAGATTACTCCATATTATAGTATCATGGAAATGTAATGCATAGTTTCCTGTACTCGTACGAAATATGCAAACACGCTCAAATCTAACTTGTCAAAGCTTGGAAGGCTCAATCCAAGAGAGCTATGATTTTCAATTAGTCACTGGAACTCCAGTATCCAACTTTTTTTTTATAAAAAAAAAACAGTATACAGTATCTGCACAATAGATTCATGCCAACCAAATTAACTTCAAAATGCAACCCTCTCAATCCAACACCAGTATCTAGTATGTACACAATAGCTTCATGCTGACTGCACGCATCTGGAGTCAGTGCTGACAAGCACACAACACACACAGAGGTAGGCAAGCAGAGGCAATGCATCAGTTAATAGAAGATCCAGTAATCAGCCATAAGCAAAACAATGGAATTGCTGATGCTTATAAGCATCAGGCTAGTTCTGCTGGAAAGCAGCAGCAACTGCAAAACAATGGCGCCTAAATACACTATTGTCGGTGCATATTTTATTCCTTACAAGTAAAATCATAGGCAATACCACAGTATGCTATGCTTCATAAGTCAAATTTCGTATAGATGAAACGGCATCCGCGGAGTAGATCGGCGATGTGGGCAGCGGTGACGTGATCACGGAAGCAGCTACAGGTTCTATTATACATGCAGTTTCAGAGTGTATGTCAAGTCAAACACTGACTAAATAAATATTATTAATATATAATATATGCCATCAGTCCACATTAACTATATAGATGCCCTTATTTGACCAAAAAATTGATCATGCATTCAAAAGGCATAAATGGGTTCGATCTATAAAATCAACAGCTACATATGCAGATGAAAGGCTCCAGGTTGCTTTCACCGCACAAAGTTCACATCACATACTTGCCATCTGTTAGCTTCAGGGCTTGTTTGGAACATAAGACTTTACAAAAATTTGTTCAAATATAGTAAACTTCCTCCTCTCCAAAGAAGTCCTATATGGCGATTGAAATGGAATTGTAAGTTAATTTTATACAATTACCTACTGTTAACAATGAATGTTCATCAGGAAGGAAATTTGTGCTAGATGCATCCCTTCACCATTTCTTGCACACGCCTACAATGCTTCCACTGCGTCTATAGTCCATATTGCTTTGTCAACCTGACAATAATAGATCAAGAGCATAATAATGTTTTGCTGCTAATCCAGGCACAGCACCCCATTGCCAAAGATGCAATCCGTTATCTGTACAGCTATCTAAGAAAGTACATACATATTTAAGCAAGCATATTTAAGCAAGCCATGGAATGCTTCAGATAAATTTCAAGTAAATTGCATGATCCACTATTATTAAATGTGGACCTCATTTAGTCACTGTTGTTTCAAATTAACCTAATATACTTCAGTTATAACTTGGAAAAATAAAACATTTGTGCAATTATCCTATCCTAATCGGGCTAGTGACACAATATATTTGCAACAGTGATTCCAATAGCAAGTTTTATGTACAGGGGTTTCAGATGTAAACATCTTACAAAATATAATTTTCGATGTAGCCAGTTGCACAAATACTGCTAGGAATCAATGGCATTCAAGTGAATCACATATTGTAGGGAACAAAGGTGCAAAGCAATCGCAGAATTTCAGTTTAATAATACTCAACATAAGATATTATCATCCAAAGATCAGATCTTATAGGTGATTTATTTCACCGTCTTCAGAAAACACCTAATGCATACAAAGCCATACGTGAACTAAACTATATGAAGAAGCACTCAGCAGTAAGAATGGAATTTAAGCAAGCATATTGTGGACGGTTAATTAGTCACATAATATACCTCTTCTAATCTGTGAGGACCTCTCTAAACACAATATTTTTTGTGTATGTTGCAGACTGTTTAGACAAATCCTTTCCTTTCTTCTCATTGTCCTTCACGCCAGTACGCTTAGACTTTTTATTTTGTTTCTTGTCTTCTACCGGCATCGATAGTATTTTTATGTTTGTTCTAGAGGTTGCTCTAGACAGCGCGACGTATAGTTGACCATGAGAGAAGACAGGCTCTGGTAAGTAGATGCCTGCATTTGGAATGGTTTGACCCTGTGCCTTATTGATGGTCAATGCAAAGCTCAATCTAACCGGAAATTGCTTCCTCTTGAAGCGAAACGGGAACATCTCATCATCAGAAGGACATAGAGGTATCCGAGGAAGGAAAACTCTCTTTCCAGCATGCTGCCCTACAACAATCTCCGCGTCAATAGCATTTTTTCCAAACTGACGAACCACCAGCCTTGTCCCATTGCAAAGCCCGTTGGCTGGGTCAATGTTCCTCAAAAGCATGATGGGGCAGTTTATCTTCAGCTTAAGCACATGCGGAGGTAGGCCATTTGGAGTTAGAGAGTTCAAGAATTCCGGCGGGTAATAGTTATGAGGGTCATCATCTGCTCGGTCAAAACTATGATATGTCATCACATCCCCTCTAAACCGCTCAATCATCTTCATGTTTATTCGATCGACGAACTCATTCCGAGTGGACAATATGGCCCTACATGTGATGTAGTTTGGGTCCGTCAGGTTATCGTTTAGGTTGGGGAACACGGTATCGATGAGCCTTTCGAGGTCCGTTTCATTCCCTTTGCACGACACGCAAATATCCGAAGGAAGGCCTATGAGTCCTTCCTTGTTCACCTCCTCGGTTCCATTCCCAACTCGAAGGAGGTAGTCCGCAAACCACGTGTCGCTCTGCGCCCTCATATTGCGAACAAGCTTTAATTGAACCATACAATCCCAAAGATAGGACCTGCGTAGAGTGGCATCTGTTATCTGAGACCTAGTGCCCTTCCTGATGACTGGGAGCACCTGCCTAAAATCCCCTCCAAACACAATCGTCTTCCCTCCAAACGGAGAACGCGGACAACCCATTATATCTCTCATGCTCATATCGAGGGCCTCAACCGCCTGCCTCTTTGTCATGGAGGCCTCATCCCATATTATAAGTGACGCCATCTGGAGAAGCTTCGCCGTCCCACTTTGTTTGGTGAAGCTGCAATAAGACCCTTCGTCAATGTTGAGGGGGATCTTGAACCGCGAATGTGCGGTCCGGCCTCCAGGCATTATAGAAGCTGCAACACCCGACGTCGCGGTTGCCACCGCTATATCTCCTTTGCCGCGAACCGTAGCTAGCAGCGCCCTATACAGGAAAGTCTTTCCCGTGCCTCCTGGGCCATCTACGAAGAAAACACCCCCCTGAGCACTGCCAACTGCATTCATGATTTTGTTGAATGCGGACCTTTGCTCATCATTCAGCTGGTCTGAGAGGTTCATATCGTCCGTCTCCACACCAATGGATGACTCCTCAATAATCTCTCTGGGATCTCCTCTGGTACTATCATGTGATTCGTCAATTTCAGGGAGCGGAAACGATGTGATTTCCTTTCCCATTGATTGTAGCATGCCTCAGATATCTATCAGCACCATCTGTTGGACAACATGAGGGCATGTGTTGTTACGCCTGTAGTCATCAGACATGGCATCTAGATGTTTGTCCCAAAGACCACGGACATCGCTAGGTTCGCAATACACCAATATGGTAGCGAATAACCTGCATAGCGACGCTGGCATCTGGAAGACCGCAGCCTCCATAAGGCACTCGTCGAGGGTGTTGTCTGCCTCTATAAGACCCCTTCTTTCAGCTGCAGCACGGAACGAAGGCATGACCACGCCATCAACAGTGCGTAGGTCTTCGAATGAGGTGGAGCCCGCCACATGGTTTAGCAGCACCCGAAGATAGTAACGCTCCCCCTCTGCCAGGTGGGCACACACAATCCTCCCGACCTATACACCTCTCTCTCTTTTTTTTCCAGTACTTACCTGCTGTCTGCCAAGTAAACCACATTGGGAAATCCCTATAAAGGATATCTCGAGCCCAGACATGCTGCCGGTTAGCCTCGAAATACGCTGTAAGCATCGACCTGCCTGCGTCTTCCTTATCAAGAACATCACGAAGATCCTTGTCTGCATCGAAAGCCAACATGTGCATGTTTGGCAGATGCAGTTGCAATTGCCTCACAGACGGCGAGATGTGGCATATGTCAAACCCATATATACGCCACAAGGCTTCTGGAGGGGTCACCCACCTCGCATCCCTGTAGCGCTGAATCTCATCGATTTCGCCGTTGCTATCTGCCTCGTTTATTGATATCGAGGCCCTGTCGTGTCCCTTGTATAGGTATTTAAATAGGTACTTCACTGCCTTGATACTCGAACAGACCTCGACATTCATGTGACAGTTGTACATCCGTAGAAGATATGGATTGTACGAGACAACCCACCTATTATCGAGAGGATGGCCTCTAACCACTCTACTCTTACCGTCATTACGTCTCCTATACAATGGGTATGAATCCTTGCCTTGTGAGGTTGTAGGGTTGAACTGTCGTGGGTAGTTGTTCCTACACTTTCCATCTCGCATGCATTGGCATTTACCGTTGAGTGGACCGCAAGGGCCATGCATCATATGCTTAACAACCATATCATAGAGCTCTCTATACTTCTTCTTGTCGGGAAGCTCAGCCGAGACGATGCAGTCATATTGGTCCGCAGATGTTAGCTTGTATCTACCACTCATGATCAACAAGAAGTGTGCGTGCGGCAGACCCCTCTTCTGGAACTCAACAACATAAACATGTGCAATGACCTTGCCAAGAATATGTTTCTCAAACAACTGCTTCTTTAGGTCCTCTAACTTGGCTCGAAAGACACGGACCACAAGATCAGGACGATCTTGTGGTGTCTGGCCAGGCTCAAGCTCTCGAGTAATCTCATCCCACTTTGGGTTGCTGGTCATTGTAAGGAATACATCTGGCTTCCCATACTTCTGTACTAAGGCCATGGCATCCATGTATCGGCGCTTCATATTTCGGCCACCACCTACGAACGACGCTGGCAACACAGTCCGTTTGCCGACCGCGCTTGCTCGACTCTCCCCAGCCTGGATGCTGTCCATTAAACCTTGATACAGGTCGGCCCTTATCTCCTTCTGGTTGTTCCTCACATAGTCCAGACGGGAGCTCTCAACCTTGATGTACATGTCAACAGCGAACTGCTGGAATAGGCGTCCGCCGTGAAGTATAGGATTGAAAATCCCACGGCGCATCTGGAATTTGTAGCAGTAGTAGTCCCTTACAGAGACCCGTATCCTGCTGTTACAATCTGCACGTGAGAAACATTTGGGTTAGTGCAGTCACGTAATGGGGCATTATCAATTGTCTTAGTAACATAGTACAAAGATAAACTTACCAGGATCATCGCCATGACGCTCGTTTGCAGCCTTCATGGTTATTTTGTCCTTTGGAAGACCTTGATGCCAACCACTCTCTCCTCTAGGGAAGAACAAAGGATACGAGAGTGGATCGTAACATCCGTAGAAAGGCTGGATGCATTTACGGGTACAGTCGTTACCGTATATTGTCACGCTAGGCTCAAATTTCCTTCTCTCGTTTCCTTCAACCCAGACAGCGGCGACCTCAGTTGTCACCGGCACATTGTAACGCCTTTGGTCCAACCTATGATCCAAATTTAGTGTCACGCGGTAGTTCGCGAGGTCATCAGCCTGCCCTAGACTTCTAAATGTCTCTGAGTACGGGTTGTTCCGAAGGACGTCTGAAACAGTCCTGATCACATCCTGGTCAAGGCTCGGAGAACGACGAAACCTGTGACTCAAGGTTGGATCGTCATCATAAAAATACAGCTCAAGATGCTCTGGACCAGACTCTCTAGGACCAAAAGAATGTATGTTATGATAGATCTAACCATGGGCCCGAAATGTGTACACGCCCGAGCTCATGTTTGCAAAGGCCTTGTCAAGGCTTACACCAAGGGTAGTGAATGAGAAGTGGCCGTTAAAATATCTAATGTTATCCCGGAAATGCTTGGCGTCTGGATCCGAGCTTGTCCAGAGCCTCATCAGTTCAGGGGGTGTTTCATTTTCTACAAGCTTGATCTTTCCATCCCGACAACAGAAGCCTGGCGGTTCGTACTGGAACCTCTTGGCGCCACAGTGTTTACAGTCAGGCTCAGCCTTCAGAACATTTGTGCTTTGTGGAATGTTGCTATACACACAGTCGAACGGATCAGGAACTGAAGAGGTCGGTGATTGCGTGTCGTCGTCATCAGATTGTACCATCTCGTCATCGTCATCATCGCCTAGGATTGTTTAGCGGAAAAGGAGTTTAGTTTTCAAAAATCTATACAAGTGAAAGAGAGATTTAAGTATGAGGACGATGGTACCTAGCCCAGCAAACATGTAGTATTCATCGTCCGTGTCATCATCCATGAAGGAATCCATATCATCTTTAGTGGAATGAAAAGTTAGTGTGCGGAAGGGTACAAAATTGCGAGTATGAATGAAAACATACATATATCATACCATCATCAAAAGTGCATGATCGTGCAAGATGATCTGCAGCATGCTCAGTTGGCCGGCTCGATGTAGCTGGCACATCATCGGTTGTTTCCAAGCAAGGCGTTGGATTTAATAACGACGGGCTGCTACCCTCAGGGCACTCCAACGCAATTGATTCAGCGCATGGTTTGTCACGCCGAGCAGCGTAGCGTGCATTACGTCGTGCGAGATGAGCAGTCCTTTCTCCAGGAGTGACATTTTGCCGTCTTGATCTACGACGGGCATTCATTTCATGAATGTCCACATCAGGTAAATTTTGCCTTGCAACCCTAAGGCGTGCATTCATCTCTTGTTTTTGTTCCGCTGTCATAGACTGACGTCGTGATCTCTGACGTTCTAGCATAACTTGCTTCTGTTCTGGTGTTTTAGCAGCATACTTGGCCCTATCCCCAGCACGACGTGACTGCAACTGGTCTTGTGAAAGGCTCCGGGATACAGGATTTCGTGAATTCTCTAATGATGTTCTACGACTTTGTGTATCCTGACCTGAATTCGTAGCTAGAAAATCAGTTTCATTATTGTTCTGTGTCTCTCCTTGAACTATGTAGCTCAAAGGTTCTTCGGATCCTTCATTAAGATCATAATATGCTATATTGTTTATCACTGTAAATGGGAGACGTCTAGGTGTGATCGTGGGTTGTTGAGATACACTTCCTGTTTGAACATAGTACATTGAACTATAAACAATTGCAATTGTGAAACCATTCATTGCAAGTGCACGTAAGGATATACATTACCTGTTCCCTTTGTTGTAGGGGTGTCCAATAATTCATCATTACTAACCCATTGTTCCCTTCCTGCGGGATCTCCAGCGGTGACAATAGAAATATCTCCAAGCGTAGGAGTAGGAGTAGAAAATTTTGACGTCGTAGCTTTAGGCACATTACCTGAAAGAGTTTAATTAATAAAATAATAATAATGAGCCAAGATATTCGTAAAGCTTTAATTTGGATATAGACATATATGCGTATATTTATATATAAACCTTGAGATTCATCCTTCCTCCGCCTCCTGGCATCGCGTGCCTTCCTGTTTCTATCTTCCTTTTGCTCTTTGGTCAATGATGCGTACCACTCTCTAGAACGCTTATTTTTTAGTTCAGACGCGCTGAGATTAGTGACATCTCCATGAGCATCTGCACAAAAAATCTGAGGTTCACACATACGCATATATAAATATAATAAATTGTCATTTTATACTTGAGTTATTTGAATGGACCTTCTGCCTGGAGAGGCATGGTATACTCGCTGGGTGTACTGTAGGACATATCAGAACTGTTAGTAAATGGTAGACGCACAGGCGTTACAATAGAACCCACATTTTCAGTGCCTGCATCATTAACATCCAACCGGCCCCCTACTGATTGATCTTCAGTGCTTGCAATTTTAATATCACCAAACGGAGCTGCTATTGAAATGCAAACATATTAAAAAATGTTTTTGGCACAAATTTACAAACATATTTTTAGCAGTGACCATATGACAACTCAACCTGAAACAGATGAGGCCGTAGTAGTAATTTTTTTTGATGTCGCAGCTTGAGACCCATTATCTGAAAGTTCAATTAATTTAATAATAAAGTTTTCTGTTTAGAGAGTTTAGATATGCTGCAGTAGAGATTTAAACCTTGTGATTCAAAGTTCCTCCGCTTCCTGATATCTCGTGCCTTCTTGTTTCTATCTTCCTTTTGCTCTTTGGTCAATGATGCATACCACTCCCTAGCACGCTTCCTTTTTAGTTTAGTCGCACTTAGTTTTGTAACATCTTGAAGAGTGCATGCACACAAAAACTGTGCTTAATACAAAAGCCTTAAAAAGAAACAAAACATATAATATAGTGCTACGCCCAACCTGTAGAGTCCAAGTTGTTGTGCTGGCAATTCTCACGATCTTTTGGCACATTAGTTCCATTTTTATTAGCAGCGGGATGGTTGTTCGTCAAATTGGCATCAATTACATTAGTTATATCAGCAAAAGGACCTGAGGGAGGAGTGATCCTCATATTAGCAAGCAATAATATATCAATTGAGCGATAAATATAACATTAGCTAGATGGATGAAAATGTCACCTGATCTTGTTGACGATGTTGGCACAGAACTCCCACCATTGTTATCCAAACAAACAATCTTAAATTGGAAATTGGAAGCAAATATGAGGATTATAATTCTTTCCCAGTGGTTTAAACAGGCAGAAGAAAAATACTTTATGCCATCACATGATAATTCCCAGTGGTTTAAACATGCATGCACATTAGTCTCCTGCCAAATCCTGCTGAACATAGTACACAAATTCATCTAATGGGATGCCATTTGACAGAAAATATCTCCCCAGCAATCAGCTCAGCAGAAAAATCTGAGTTTGATTTGCTAGTAAACTGCAGAACATTGAATGAAAATACACTATCGACTTACTTATAACAACTGTGCACTTAAATTACAATGTGCCAATCAGAAGAGTTGTTTGCTATCTCACACAAAATCACACCATTTCAATTCAGTTTTCAAAATTACTCTGAAATATGCAAATGGAAGAACCCTTTATCAATCTCTGAGCAGGAGTCAGGAGCAAACAAACGGACAGGGGCAGAACATCAAGACTGAAATCGAAACATGGTAAAAGCATGAAAGGCATACATAAACCATTTCTTTCTCCATTTTTTCTAATGTTTAGAGAAAGACAGACTCACCGTATCAATGCCAAAAAAAATTCAGCAGATGCCAAGTGCATGTCCCTGAACTCCTGCTTGATTCCTCCTGGATCTAGGTTTCCTGGGATTGAAAAGTGGCATTTACATCTCGTGATCAACAATATACAGAACCTAGTTGGGGGCTTTGAACTGGGGACGGGGGAGCAGTAGTCCCGGTGACCTAGGCTAGGGATGAGGCAGCAATGGTCAGTTGGGGATCGGGCAGCGGCGACGGTGACCTAGCAGCGGGGATTCGGCGGCTATGTTGTGAGTTGTGCAGGCTGCGATGGCTGGTTGGGGATTGGGCAGCGGCGACGGAGATGGTAACCTAGACCTAGCAACCAGGGATTCGCAGCAGCGTGGTGTGGCGTGCGGGCGGCAATGGCCGGTTTGCAGGTCGGGGATGGTGTGGCGTGCGGCTATTGCGGCAGCGGCGGCTGACAGAAGTGGTGGGACAGGAGGGGATACATACCTTCAGATGACGGCGATCGTGACCGGCGGAGGTGGCGGCAGTCGAGGGCGGCGTGGGTCGTCGCGACGGCGGCGAGGAAGCGGCTCCTCGGCGGTGTTGACGCGGCGTGACCTCCTGCTCCCGCGTTGGCGGTCGAGGGCGGCGCGGGACGCGGGACTCGGGGCGCGGCGACGGCAGCGAGGAGACGGCGCGGGTCGCAGCGTCGGCGGTCGAGGGCGGCGCGGGACGCGGGACGCGGGGCGCGGGGCACGGGGCTGCTGAGGAGGCGATGCGGCGGCGAGGCGAGGAGGCGACGCAGGGAGGAGGGCGAAGGTGGATGATCGATCCGATGCGAGGTGGAGGCGCGTTGGAGAGGGCGGCGGCGATCGCGGAGGAGGCCGGCGGGCGTGGCTGGTGAGGAGGCGATGCGGCGGCGGGGCGAGCTTCGCCCAGGGAGGAGGGCGAAGGACGCGGCGTGGGAGGAGGAGGAGTGGGCGTGGGGAGGAGGTCGATTCAAGAGAGGAGCGAGCGCGTGATGGGGAGGAGATTGACGCCGTTGGACATGGCAATCGGATGGTTGAGATTATGCGTGTCTATCAGATGCATCTGCTATGTCAGGAATCAAGACCACCACTACGAACTTTTTAAGTAGTAGAGATATGCATATGGAATATATATTTTATATATGTATTTTTTTACAAAAATCTTAGGTATTCATTGAATACCCATGAATTGAAGTGGGCCCGCCCCTTCGGCAGCATGCTGCAGGCCGGCAGGAAGATGGCGTACGACCTCGACGAGAACACGCTTACGTTCGACTTCGAGACACCGTCGTCCTCCTTGCGGTAGTCGTCGTCGCTGTCACCAACGGCGTCGCGGTCCTCGGCGGCGGCGCTGACGCCCTCCGTCTTCCTATCTGCGGCTTGGGTGGTGCTGCTGCTGCTCGCCGTCGTGATGTGAAGCGCGCTGCGGCGTTTGACGGGGAGGGGAATTTAATCCCTTCTGTCTTGTTCGGTTTGAAAAGGATTACAGAGAATTAGAGAAGATCGAGAAAAAATAATTCCACATAATAGATGTGAAATAAATCCCCTTCAGTCTCTCTCTCGGGGGATTAACCAAACAAGACCTATAGGAGATGTCTCCTCATGTATCTTTTTCTTTTAAATTCAGTACAAACAGACGTGGAAAGTTTTAAAAACAATTGACAGTACTCAGTCCACCAAAAATCAAGTTTAAATTCGACATACACACTGAGAAAAAAACAATTCAGATTTGAACAGTATTTTTACTATTTATACGCTGAATTTGTTTCGCTATATGTCGATGTGTGAGTTGACTTTTGATACAACTTATATAACATTTTTATGTGTGTGTTGATAAATTTTTTGGATTTTCTCATAACCGTCCGGATAGTTTTTAAATAAATGAGGGGATGTCCCCTCAAGTCTCTAGATATCAAAATAGTTTTCCCCGTGTGATGACAGAGCTATCCCGATCCCACCATTTTAAATTACATGTCATTTAAATTACTTTGAAGTTTGTCTTCCAAACCAAATAATTTAGCGGTAGCACTATTCCGTGTAGGATCGAATCACAATAACTAAGCCAACCAGAGGGGGTGAATGGTTGGTATATCCAAAAACCTAAACTTTTAGCGGAAATAAAAGTCACCGTCAAATTCGACGGATCGCGGTCTGACCGAAGTAATTGCACCGGTCTGACCGCCTGAATACCTCCAGTCTGACAGAGGTAGTAACTCCGGTCTCACCGCCTGGATCAGCTCCTGTCGTCTGCCGCCGCCGCCGGTCTGACCGCCCTTACGCCGCTGGTCTGACCGCCGGTGTGCCGCCGGTTAGACCGCCGAAAGCCGATGAAACACAAATTGAATAACTCTTAAAGTGGATGACGACTTTATTGATTCTCTCTGTGTTTACAAAGTGCACCAACATCACTCCAAACAAAAAACTCGAGTAAGCTCGAAACCCTAACTCAACTATCAACTCAATTGCTCTCGAAAGCGATACCGGGAAGCCTCACACTCCCTGTCTATTTATACATGAGGTAGGCAGCCTAAAGCTACGAACCAAACTCATACTAGAAGTCCTAATCCCCATAGGAAACCTTCTCGTACAAGAAACAAACTTTACATAACCAATCATACCAAATTTGGACTCCTTCCAAATTCGACTCTGCATCCCATACGCACACAATACCTCCATCGTATGCCATATGGAAACTTCACCAACCACGTGTATTGAACTCTAACCTTAGTATCCCGCATGATCTCTGACCACCATGAACGTCGTCTTATCCCCAAGCCAACTCCCGGTCCATCACCGCAAATACTCTCCCGGCATCTCGAGTCACCTACACATAGACCAAGCTATCCCCAACTTGACTCATTGTTAGCAAACAACAGTATTACATACGTATGGTATCCATCTAGAAGCCATAATCATGAAACAATCTAATATGACCATGGCTACTATAGATACAACCATTGCTCACATCATGGATGAACAAGATTATATCAAGATCAAGTCCTCCAAGTGCTGGAATTCGATTCGGCCACCTGCTACACTGTTGACTTCAAACGGCCGCCAAATTTGCATCCGAGCTCCGTTTTGGGCCCGTGAGTACTTGATGGAAAGGTTTCGGAGTCCTTCCAACGGATCCAGCCTCATCACCAAACTCCATCTCAGTTGGCCGCAATCAAAGAAACAAGGAGCTGCGTCACCTGTCATGGGCCTATGGGCATGTAACTTCGTCTGGGACCCCGGCCCAAGTGGGGCCCATGTGGGGTGCGCCCCAACCAGGTGGATCATGACCCTAGATTCCCTTTGGTCGTCCTCTCACAATTATAATTAACTAGGTACCCCTATAGAGTTTCTTGGGTTTTGTTTAGATGAAAGTTTAGCCATTGCTACTTCCTTGCAGCGCGTGTGTCGGCTAGACCGTCCGTCTGCTTGTATTCGAAACCCCAACTTATTGTGTGTATTCATTCTTATTTGCAATTCAGATTGATTTTATCTTGTTCTTGCTTGTTTCTTCGATTTGCTTGCAGGAATAAGGTTGATCTGCACCGGTAAGATTAACAACCCACCGGTAAGATCAACAACCCACAGAGAGGTGTATCAATCGCAAAGGCGCAACACAACGTCTTGTACGATTGTAGTCGGGTTGTCAACGTTTCTCTCAAATCGTAGTTATCATCAACTCTTCGAAAGATCGGGCCAAACAACTGCCTTGAGTGTCGAAAGGAGCTCAGGGTTCGTCAGGTGGTATCAGAGCTTTCGTTGCTCGGTGAGTTTTCATTTACCTATAACCAGAAAATAGCCAAAAAAAAATTTTCATACATTACCTAGCCACATTTGTGCCATTGCATTGTTCTATGCAGTTTTTGCTTTGTTGAATTTTTGTTGCATTGTCACGTCGTGTTGCTGGTCTTAGCGTCTAGTTCGTTTAGAATTTCGAGTTCTGGTCACGTTTTGTACCACAGTTGTTGTTGCCTCCGTGTCTCTGTTGTCGTCGGGACCTACGAAAACGGAATCGGCTCGCTGCCATGGTTCTATTTTTGTAGTTTTCAGAAGTTTCTGTCGGTTAGTTTTTGAGTTCTTGAGTTGCATCTAAGGTTTCTGTTCGATGGCTGTGCCGTGGTTGTATCCGTTATGGTGCGCATGTGATGTTGTGCGTGAGGAAGAAGGAAGGAGGAGATTAGATTAGATCGGTTTTTGGTAGTAGATTGGATCGGTTTCTATTTGAACCGGATTCGGTTTCCTTGCATGAGATTTTTCCTTTTATTCGAACTCCGTGTGCCGTGTCCTTCCTTTGCCGCCCACCACCACCAGGCCGAGATTTCTGAGTCCGATTCCCTCCCTCACAGCTATACCGTGACATCCCATACACTTGGGTGAAAATTTTTCGTGCGTCGGATTGAAGATATGTTTGCAAAAACGGAACCTATGCAACGAGAGCATTTCATTTTTGTATAGTTCTAATTTTGGGTTTGCATTTGAGTCCCTGTAATTTTAGTATTTATATTTGAGTCCCTGTAATCTTACATTAAGATCCTTGAGTCGGTTTTTGTTAAAAAAAATAAAAAAAAAGGAGAGAAGAAAAGGCAGAAAGGTGCATAAAAAAAGATAAAAGAAAAGCCACACAAAAAAAGAAAAAAAAGAAGGAAAAGAAAGAAAATAAAAAAAAAAGAGAAAGAAAGAAAGAAAGAAAGAAAGAAGGCAAAAAAAATCAGTTTGGTTTCATATATTAAGAGTGTGCTTGAGTTGTTTCTGGTGTTATATTGTGGTACTGTTTGTATCTAGGCTCGCGTCTCTATTACATTCTAGCCTTGGACCAGCACGGTACTTGACTTTGAACGATCAATCAACTTTGCATTCTTTGGATTGAGCATTTGCTATTCCTTTGCTATATATTTAAGCCTACCCAGAGCTCCATAGATTTGATTGCAGCTGTACAGCAAGTGTTTGCCAAGGCATCGATACATCCAAACTCCATTGGGGTGCTTGGTTGAGTCGGTGTACGTCACCATTCCACTTGCTTTGGTAAGAACTTGTAAGAGCTTGGTGAAAAGCTTGAGTGTGTGTGATATTTCAGCTGTCACTACCTAGTAGTTGATAGGAGCGTGCATATTCTTGTGTATGTTTCTTATTTGCTACTAACCATGGCAGGATTGTGCAAGGGGAAACGAGATGGTCATGCTCAACATCAACATCTTCACCATCAACAAGATATAGCGACTTCTTCACGCATCACATATGAGGTATATGATAATGATCTTGCAAGGGTAGAATCTAAATTGCCAGTGTTTGATGGTAAGTATGATTCCGCCGCTTATGTTAATTGGGAGCTAGCAGTAGACAAACAATTTGATGAGTATGATTTCTCTAATGCTCAAATGATTAAGGCTGCTACTAATAAATGTACCGGTTCTGCATCTTTTTGGTGGTACACTGTTGGCAATAAGCTTGAAACTTGGGATGAATGCAAAACAATGATGAGGAAAAATTTTGTGTTTTCATATTATAAACGTACTCTCCTTGAGAAATTAGAACATCTAAAACAAGGTGACAAAACCGTGCGGGAGTACTTTCATAACTTTAAAATTTGTATCACTTATAGTGGTTTAAAAGAAAGCAATGAGAACACAATGACTAGATTTTTTAGAGGGCTTAATTCTGATATTTAGGCTGGGCTTATTAATGTGACATATAATCATATAGGCCAATTGTTCATGCTTGCTTGCAATGTTGAGCGCAAAATTTTGGAGAACCCAACGGAGCAACAAGCTATGCTTGTGCCTCCTATCACTGATGTTTTGCAGGAAGTTCAGAACAGTCCCCAAAATGAGAAGAACGATATGTTTGAGATGTCACTTCCATCACTCGCGAATGAAGAGAAGGCTGATGCACCTACATTATCTGAAGAGTGCATAAAAGATAAATTAAATGGTGCAGAAATTACTCAAGGTGAGTATGCTTCTGATGAATTACATTTTTCCACTTTCCATGCCGACCTA